TTCTGTTTTTTATAATGTGACACGTGTCTCCCTTATTTATAATTTTTTTTTAATTTATACAAAACTTTATTCATTTATATTTTTAATTTTAATTTTCTTATTTTTTATTTAAGTTTTAGTCAAAATGTTATTTTAAGTAAAATAAAGAATGTGAGTGTCACTTTATGAAAAAATATAAGAGTCATTTATTAAAAACATAGAAGGTTTAATTGTGTTTTTGATATATGATACCAATGTCCATTCTCTTCACTAGTACAGTGTTAATTTTTGAAGACTCAACATTTGATGCAGTTAATTAATGACTTTCAGGATACTTGCAAACTCAAAGCCTTGTCCAAAGTGCAAGCGACCAATTGAAAAAAACCAAGGGTGCATGCATATGACTTGTACTCCACCTTGTAAATTTGAATTTTGCTGGTATGTTTTTTTCCCCACCTGATTTTGCATGCTTCCACCTTTTCCTTCCTTTCATTGGTATGAATGACTTTATAATTGCATATTTAACATGGCTAATGTCTCACTATTTTAACTTGAGCTTATGTAAATTTTTACTGATCTTGATATTTTTTTTCTGCATAGGCTATGCCTTGGTGCATGGTCAGACCATGGTGAAAGGACTGGCGGTTTTTATGCTTGCAATCGTTATGAAGCAGCTAAACAAGAGGGAGTGGTAAGGGACTTTGGAATACTCTACTTCTGTCGATTCAGGTTTCAGGCCCATTACCTCCTGGCATATTTGTGATAATATCTGCTTATGAACTAAATTTTGTTGCATATAGTATGATGAAACTGAAAGAAGAAGAGAAATGGCAAAAAATTCGTTGGAGAGGTACACACATTATTATGAGCGGTGGGCCAGCAATCAATCTGTATGCCCGACTCCATACTTTTTCTATTCTTTATTATAATTTTTTTTTATTGGCAGTTTCCAAGTCCACTGTTTAATTTATATTTTCTGTGAATTACTTTGGGTTAATGACATAATTAACTTTCTTTTTTCTTTCATTATCAGTCAAGGCAAAAAGCCCTTGCAGATCTACACCAGATGCAAACTATTCACGTATGTAACACATTCCCTTTGTTTTTCCTCCCATTCCCTCCCTCCCCTCCCCCCCCCCCAAATATTGCATGTGATTTTGACAACTGAAGTGAAATAGAAATTTCTGCACTAGGGAAAGCTGATTTTGAATCGTGTCTTGCGACATTTAAGGCAAAATATGTTTTTAGTCCCTAAACTTGGTACAGTAAAAATATTACGTTATTCATTATTTCATTGTACATCAATAAATAACTGAACCTGGGAATATTTTTTTATATATATTATTAAGCATACTGAAAATAACTAGCCAAGGTCTTAGCCTTTCCTGCATTCCTCATGGTTGCAAATTTTTATTTTAATTTTTTGCTTTCCTAGTCTTTGGATTATTTTACTGTCAGGTGTTTGCCACTATAAACAGTCAAACAAAAAAACAAACATACTTTCTGCTGTATATCTAGGGCATTTTCATACTTAATATCTGCTTTTTAGGAACTGTAAAAATTGTGTATAATTTTCCTTTTTTGCTTTTACAGATTGAGAAGCTTAGTGACACACAGTGCCAGCCTGAATCACAGCTTAAGTTCATAACGGAGGCCTGGTTGCAGGTAAATGAATATTAATAGTTTTTTGACTTGGTATAATAAATTGTAAAATTTGTAGATATTTTTTTATGAAGCTGTCAAATGTTTTTGAACTGTGGGTAGTAGTAGTAGTTTTTTTATTAAAAAATGTTTGGACAAATTTCTTTATAAGCACTTCCTAGAAAGAAATAAAAAGCAAAAATTAAATGAGCTTTTCGAAAGCTAAAATTATTATATGTACTATTTAAAAATAATTAGAGAAGCTATATTAGAAAGCTTTAACAAATTAATGTATTCATTAGTTAATTTTAGCTTTTGGAGAAGTTAATTTTAATTTTTATCTCCTAGAAATGCTTATAGAAAAGTTCGTCTGAACAAATTCTAGGACTCAATTGATTTAATATTAATTGAACTGTTTTCTGAAGCTTGTCCTAATGATGAAAACGTTTTCAATTGTTGTAAACTGGATGGCTTTCTAATTTCAATTCCATGTTGGCAGATTGTTGAATGCAGGAGGGTGCTGAAATGGACATATGCATATGGGTACTATTTACCGGAGCATGAACATGCTAAAAAACAGTTCTTTGAGTACTTACAAGGTCTTATTTGTCTACTTTAATTTTTACTTGAAATGTCTTGTATTTTGGTGGCTCCCCTACAATCGATACTTTTTTTTCTCACCAGGTGAGGCGGAATCTGGTTTGGAGAGACTTCATCAGTGTGCTGAAAAGGAACTACAGTTATTCCTTAGTGCCGATGGCCCATCAAGAGAGTTCAATGACTTCCGCACCAAACTAGCTGGATTGACCAGGTAGATGTTGTTCATGTTTGTATATATACATGGTATACTTGTCAGTCTCTTGGTCTATCAATTTGGTACGAGTGTGCAGTTATTTATAATGAATATAGTATATCTGTGACATTATTATTGATCTTGCCCCAAACACGTTGACACAATTTCTAATCCATTTGTTTTGGCAGTGTGACTAGAAACTACTTTGAGAATTTGGTGAGGGCATTGGAAAATGGTTTATCTGATGTGGATAGTAATGGAGCTGCTTCGAGCAAAGCAACGAGCTCCAAAAATGCAGCAGGGAGCAGCAAGGGGAGAGGAGGAAGAGGAAAAGCAACTATTCGAACTAGCATATCCAGCAGAATGACTGATGATAATCATTGGTCTTGTGAACATTGTACCTATGCAAATGTTAGGTCTGCTCCCACATGCCAGATGTGCAATCAACAGCGTCGATGAAATTTGGATCCTCCTTTAGAAACAAATGTCTTCTGCGTAAGGCCAATGCACCAAAAGCTAAAATGGAGTCTTTACTTATTGCTGTATCATATACCGGCTCCTTTTTGTAAGGCTATTTTAATGTGAAGGGGGTTAAGTCGCGTAAGAAAGGTTATCCTCCTCCTTGCACTCCTATTGAATACATCACAATTTAATGTATATAATGTTTTATCTTAAAACTTTCAGTATTGAGTTTCTGCTACAGGCTTCTGTAACTGAATATCATATACAGCACATACTGGAGATGAACACAAATGTGCTTATTTGTGTCCTGATTTCTTCTACTAAAACTCTCTGTAGCTTCTTTAATCTTACCTTGAACTGTGTATACGCTCCAGTTGTTCTTCTTAGATGTCGACCAATAGAGGGACCATTTGACACAAGTACATACTTATAACTCATTTATAGTAGAGAAATTTTATTTTGATACCCAGTTTCCAAAAACATCCATTTTACAACTTACCTATATAATATTATTATTTGTTATTATATTATTGTTTTTGAGTCGTTGATTGGATGTGTTGGGTGAACATATATCACCCCTCTTATAGTACCTGTGAACTTTACGGCTGGGTGGTGTTTGACATGTATCGTGTGCCATTGAGCTAAACCATGATGTAACGCCAAAATTGAACTTGCCTTGCTCGGTGATATTTTTTTGGAGATATCCAGTATGTGTATTGTAAATTGTAATTTTTAACCTATCCATTTTTTCCTGTCAAACACACTAAATGCACTTTTTGTGTATCTGACAGAATAAGAAAATGTGATATGATATATATCTAAATAATGATAAAATATAATATAAATTATGATTAAATGGTAATTTTTCTTAATTGACTTTTAACTTTTATTTTTACGAATAGTAGAAATTATGAAAGATATATTTTTTACTAAAATGCAAATAAGATCATTTGTTAAATAAAAATTTGATATATATTATTATACAGGTTAATATTAGTAAAATAAAATAAAATTGTATTTTATTAAAATATATAAATTTTGATTCAAATATGTTTTTTAAAAATAATAAGAAATTACTTTTTAATATTTTAACTCTCATTAAAATTATATATGAAATTCTTGTACACAAGAAATACACTACAATAACACTAGTAAGTTATTGCATTTGATCTGTCTTTTCTTATCTACCAAATGATCCTAAATGGATTATTTTTTCCTCCTATTAATTTGGAGTTTAGGTTCACGTTGAATCAATTAAAAAGTTAATCTATCAGTTAACATAATTTTAAACAAATGTTTATATGTTTAGTCTCTTATCATAAATTAATTTTAGATGTATGATTGAAGTTAAAACAACTAAGATATTTTTTACATTGAATAAAAAATTTACATGAAATTTTATTATTAACTTCTAAAATAAAAACGTTCAAATATAATTATTTCTCTTCAAAAATAATTTTAGAAAACCAATTTAATTCAAAATTAATTTTGTGAAAGCTTAACCAAATCCAAGCGTGCTCAGATTCTGCAAATCATTCTGTGTCTGAGATAACTACAGCAAGTTATCGAGTGAAAGATTCCACTAATAAGAAAGAAGGGAAACGAATTTGTTGTTGGCTTGGAGGTGTTAGACTTGGACCGACCAATGACTCATGTGGACTCTAAAAATAATTTTATTTTAAAATAAAAATCCATTTTGTCTTTAAAAAAATAAATTAGTCTTGACCAAGTCTATCTTTTTAATTTGGTCTAATTTTATACAAGACATTGCATCTTTGCAACACTTTTTAAGATGTCATCTTCTCTTTTCCTCCTGCAAACAATCATCACAATCACAGTTTCTCAATTTCCTTTCACCTTCTTCTTCTTCTTTCCTCTCTTCCTCTCACAAAAGAAGAATTTCAAAACAACTATAAGTATTGTCTTTGAATCACCATAGGCAAAAGATTCTGTCAAATCTGTGTACTAAGTTTAATTACTTCATTATTATTTTAGAAGCCATGAATGATGTAACTAAAGACGAAGGTTGCACTACACGACAGATAAGCAGGCAAATAAACAAAACATGTAATTTAGTTACTCTTGTATAAATCATATATTTACAATTCAATAAACATTCCTGAATATGAAGAAGCGATTTAAGATATTGCCACTCATCTCGCACATAACACTCCTGAAAACTCAACAAATCTATGGCTTCCCCAATTTCCTTCCAGGTTTCAGCCCCTCTTCTTCTGAGTTGGTACTTTCTGTAAGAATAGGGAAACTGCAATCTTGCAGCATCAAAGAGACTCCTTTGTTGATCCATGGAGAATCCAAGGCTAGCACAAACACATACAAACCCACCACTATAGAAACTGCAACACAAAGATACATCTCTTCTGTGAAACTTGCTAGAGTCATTAATCAACAGTTAGAGAGAGGTGATGGAGGGAACATAGATAGTTGAGAAGGGTGCTTGAGGTTATATGCAGTTGAAGGGGTGAGACAGAAATTTTTTAATGATTAATTTAAGGTTATGTGAACCTAGTTGGCTAGTGGCTGTGTTTGGGGGGAAGTATGTATCTGCAGTTCTGACCAACTTATTTGGTCACCTCACTCGTCACGTGCACCAACTTGCCAAACACGTTCATGCATTCAATTCAAGTATGAAACTGTGTAGAAGAGCAAAAGCGCGTTCATTCATGTCCTTTCATCTGCATCATCGTCATCATCATCATCTGTCAGAAGTTTCTTATCACCATATTTCAATACAATCCATTTTTCTAACTTGTGTTTGAAGTTCCTTTTTTCTAACCATATTTTCGATTTATAATGAATAAACTATATTATAAAATCATTTTAATTATTATAAAAGTATAATAAAACTATTGAAATTAAATTTATACATAAAAATAAAATAATACATTTTGAAAGAGATAACAAATAGAAGATCATGAAAGATATGTTGAAACAATTCTTTTTCTGCTTATTTTGAGAATAGCAAATAGGTTTTAAAACTGTTTGGTATTTCACTTTTTTTTTTCAATTTAGTTTAAAGATAGTTTATTTTAAAAAATTACTTATGTAAAGAATATATTTTTAATTGAAGTAACAGAATTTTGTCTCATTATTTGTTATGATTATATCATACACTATGTGTCAGTGGAGTAGATTTCTACAATTTTTGTTGTGTGTGTGTTTTTTTTAATAATAATAATTAAAAAAAAAAACACATTTTTCGGTGCGTTCTGTAATGCTTGTATTATAACGTCCATTTAAATTGATTGAAATGAAATTTTATGTAAAATTTATTTAAAATAAATGAATATATATATATATATATATATATATATATTATAATAATAATAATTTATCTAATCTTGTAATAAAATATTTAATATATGTGTATACATTCAAACAAAAAATTCATACAATTAATAATTGTATAATTTATTTTTAATTTACTAAATAAATACATACTATATTTATTAATTTAAGTAATATATAACCATCTACTAAATTTAATAATACATTGTATATAATAATATTATAAAATATAACTATACCTTATATTTAAGAAATACAATGATGTTTATAGAATTGATAATTAACAAGATTATTCAATTAAAATACAATAACAACATATCAAGAAAATACGTTTATTTATATATCCATATGAAAAACTATACATTTAATAAATACTATATTATTTCTAATTAAATTTAATAAACACATTATATTTAATTGAAATTTATTAAATGAATTATATTTATTTTTAATAATACACTCATTAGTAATATAATAAAAATGTTACTCATTTATTCTTATAAAAAGTCAAATATTTAATAAATGTAATATATTTAATATTATAAAAAATAGTTATACATTAGATTTATTAATTGAATAAATGAATAATACATATAGGATAAAATTTATTCATAAGTTAATTATGTTTTTAGTACTAATTATGTTTATTTCAGTCTCTCAATTAAAAAAAATACATATTTTAATCTCTAAAAATAATGAAAAGTATTATATTTAATTTATAATATTAAATTTAAAAGATTAAAATAATTTTAATTTTTTTATTCTTTCATATTTCATATTTATAAATTAAATCATATTTCATTAAATATTACATTTATTTTTATGGTCTTATATACTATCTATAACTATTTTTAAATGATTTTTTAAACCACTTTTTAATATTATGGAAAAGAGAAAATAAAAATATAATAATTTAAAAAAATATTTAAAAATAATAATTATATAAAAAATGTGAACATGTAAGAATGTGTGTGAAGTGCCTACGAATTCACATTTTTTGTTATAATTTTTTAAAATTTTATTTAATTTTATCTTTCCACTTTTAAAATATATTTTTTTATTTCTCATACATTTATTATTTTTAAATATATAAGTCATATTTTTTTAATTATGATATTATCATTTTTCTATCTCCCATACAAAAATTACAAAAAAAAAATCTTCATTTATAGATGAATAATATTTATATATTTAATATATTTCACTTGATATCTTAATTCAAATTTTTTTCTCTACTCATTTCACGACGAAAAAAAAAGTTTTTTAAAAAAATTATGTCAAGACTAAAATATAATTAAACATTTATTTATTCATATATTTATAAAAAATTACTACAGGAAATATTTTATTTTAAAATATTTTGTATGAGAATTAAATTTTGTTATAATTGTAATTTTTAAGAATGATTAAATTCTGTTTATTCATAAATTTCAATTATATATCATATCTTTTCTGTTTTATATTTTATTTTTTAAAATATATAAATTATAATAATTATTTTTTCTTTAATTGTAATATTTTTATTTTTCTCTTTTTGCTGAAAAAAAAATCAGCATTATATGCATCAAACATTATTAGTCATACTCTTATAATATCTTAAGTTTATCTAATTTACCCTTTTGGACTAGTTTAATTTGTTTTGGGATTAATACGCAAAATCAAATGTTAAATAATTATGATATATATTTCCATAGTATGAATAACAAATACGCGAAACTATACCTTGTTTGTTTTGGTATTAGGTTTACTTAAGATTGAATTCAATTCAGATTAAAACCCAATTATAATAATATTAATAATAATAATATTATTATTATTATTATTATTATTATTATTATTATTATTATTATTATTATTATTATTATAAAATTTATTTGGCTTTGAGTACAAGACCTATATGTATATCTGATTTTATGCCCTAATTTATTCTCTTAATTTCTTTCTCTAATCCCTTTTTCTCTGCCTCTCATTAATCTCTTGGTCAACACAAGTTCAGAACTTCATTAGGGTAACCATTTTCCCTTTTCATTGCTTCATTTTACAATTTTATGTGCTTCCCCTTGTGATTATTTTTTAATTTTTCAATACATTTTTTTTTCATTGCGAATTGAAATTATTGAATTGTTATGCATTTTCATTGTTCTTCTTTACAGTGATGAATTGAATCCGTTCCTTTTTATCTATTTGTGACCTATTAATCCAATTTATATCAACTTTTTAAGCTAATTTGTTGTTTAAACTTGATCCAATCTTTTGCCTTTCTTCTTCAATGTCATGCTTTAGGGTTTCCTTTCGTTTATTCCTCTTTTCATTATATCATTAACTTTATTTTGTGAAATTCATTTTCTAATAATTTGATTTATGTTTTAGCGTTTTTTTCTACAATAAAAAAATTAACACAGAAGAGATAAACAATTATATATATTATTAATTTAAATATATTATATTGATACATTTATATATCTTATGAATGTATTAATATAATATATTTAAATTATTAATAATAATTAAAATAAAATTATTAATTTTTTTAAGAAAAATGAATTATACATATAATATGTAATTTTTTATGCCATATTATTATTTTAGCTTCTCATAAATTTTCTATGTATTATTTTATTTACAGTAACTTCAAAAGAGCGATGCAGAAGATACTCCAAACATTTTCTATTCAATTCAACACCTTTGAAGCTGGTGGGTTTTCTATTTATTTCAATACCTTTGAAGCCGAATAAAAGATAGAAATGTTAACATTTTTGGAATTATTTTAATTATTATATTTATATACTCGTTTTATACTTCATCTTGTTACAGTTTGTATTTTTTAGAAATCACGAAACAATATTTATAACATTTTCCTTCACATTTTAACAAATATGTACAAGGAAAATAATTTACTTGTTGATATATTTATATGAATGATAACTTAATATTTTTCTTTAACTATATTTTACTTTTTCTAATTTAATCAATTCAAAATATGTTTCTCGAATAGTAATTTTAGATAATATATTTTTAAATGTAGAGTAAAACTCAAAGTAATTCATAATAATTTATTTAAAATAATATCAAAGCATAAAAATATATGAGACAATTAGTTTATTATTTAACAAATATATTTTTTGTGAGTCAAATATTATATTTTCTTCCTTTTTTTAAGAAACCATAAAATAAGTTTTAATTGCCAAAAAACTAAATTAAACGAAGGGGAAATTTTAATTTTGGGGGATTTAAAATATATTTTGGGGATTAAAAGGCATAAAATAAAAATATAAATGATGCGATCTTAATATTAAATGAAATATGAAAATCATTAATTTGAAAATATATAATACTAGTGTAAGTATTTTATATATATAATCTAATTATAAATTGCTATACATATGTAATATATATTACTGTTACTTTTATTTGAGAAAAATAATACATATGAACCTTATTATGCCTTTTAAATTTTTATAAAGTTAAAAATATATGACTTTTTTATTTTTTATTTTCTTTATAAAATAATATGAGAATTTATAATAAATACAGCATTACTGTATTTTTATTTTTTTTGCAGTAAATTATTCTTAATTTATAATCACAACACGGCACATCACTCGCTATGCCACTTTATAAGTACACAACTTATTAAAATCATTTTTGATAAAATTAATTGAGTTTAATATTTTTATATATATCAATAAAAGATTATAAAGTGTTGTAGTTATAATTTTTAAGATAATTATTATGAAAGTGATAATGACTTTATCATACATAAAACATTAAATAAAAATATAATTGTTAAAAAAATAATATCATAAATTTGTTTTTCTGAAAACGCGATTAATATTTTTAATATTGGTTATTATTTAAGTCCAAAGTGCGAAGCTACACTGCGTTTGTTTTGACATTGATTTTACTTAAGATTGAATTAATTGATAATAAACGCCAATTATCACGTACTTAGTACATTCATTACCACTTTAGTGGCGTTATTTGCTCTTCCTCTCGCAATCCATTAATCCCTTTTTCTCTGCTTCTCCACTCTCTTGGTTATGATCAGAACTGCGATAGGTGGCTTTCAAAATAATTACAGGTAACCATTTTTCTTTTCAATTCTTCATCTTCTCTTTTTCATCTAAATATGTATTTTTAATATATATATATATATATATATATATATATATATATTTTTTTTTTTTTTTTTCCATGTTGATTTTTCTTTCATTTTCAATTCTTATCATCGTCGTCATCATCTCTTGTGAATTAATGAAAGACTTATCCGCTCACTGCTTTGTTCTAGTTCTTCAATTTTCAATCGGTTAATCCACATTTCGATTGAGAAAATGTATTGACAAATTTCAATACACAGAACAAAGAAAAGAGAAGTTGTTACTTTCGAAGTAACAATACTTGTAATTTTTTTAACCAAAATCTAAACAAGCTAAACCTTGTTAACCCCTTTTCCAAAAATGTGTAGTAAATTTCTTCTTCTTCTTCTTCAAGTTTTTCCTTTTGATATGTGTTTTTCATTGTGTATGTGTGTCAGGAAAATTTATTTTTGAATGAAATTTGTTTTGATTTAAATTAATTTTAAAGTAAAGTGATATATCTTATATTTTTTTATTTTAAAATCAAATTAATGATAAAATTTGGTAATTTTTTTAATCAATCCATCAGAGTTTGATTTACAATCTTCTTTTTTGTCAAACAAAATAAAATTAGATGGTAGGTTAATGATATTAATTTGAATGATGAAATGATATTCTCCTTTAGTGACTCTGATCAGGGTAGTGAATTATTTTCAGTGATATTTTTTCTTGTCTTTTTTGTTCTTTCATTGAACCCTCATTATCAATTATATTTATCCCTTTTTTTTCTTTGTTAAACCAATGTAACAGTGTGCCATTGATTCCTAATGAGGAAAGCATCTGGAATGAGTTTGACTGCAAATGGGACTGGTTTCTGTATGGCAGCTGAACATAAAATGACAGGTCACTTTTGTAATCTTAGAAACCAAGTGGATGACATTTTCCTGCGAGTATCATCAGACAGCAACAGGAAACGGCCTTCGCTATCTGTTGAAGACAAAAGTTATCCTACTAATTCATTTCTTCTTTTTGCCAATGTGTTAGCTTTTTGGTTGTTCTTGGTGGCAAGCTCTTATTTTCTCTTGAGCAAAAGTGTTTATACTTTTGGAGGTTGTAGAGAAAGGCATGCAAAGAAAGTTTCTTCATCTGACTGTCCTATATCAAAAGTAAGCATAGAGAATGATGCACATGCTGCAAATGATATGCTTAGCTGTTCTGAGAGCGCAGGGTGTTCTCATAGAAATTCTTACAGTAACAGCTATACTGAGCTATGCTCCAATGCTTATTTTGATATTTCAGATTTGGACAAAACAAGTTACATGAATTCTTTACTCAGTCTTGAAGATGATGACTCTGAGTGGCTCTCTGATTCAATGCCTTGTGGAAGTTCATCTGAGGACCCTTCAACTCCTCTTAGCTACAAGTGTGATGCTTATTATGAGATTTCGGTCTTTGAGCAAGGAAATTACTTGCATTCTTTACTCAATCTTGATGATGAAGATTCTGAATGGTTCTCAGATTCGAAGTCTTTTGGAAGTTCATCAGAGGAACCTTCAGCTACTCGTAGCTACGATAGTGATGCATACTATGAGATTTCAGATTTTGACGAAGCAAGTTACTTGCATTCTTTACTTTGTCTTGAAGATGAAGATTCTGAGTGGCTGTCAGATTCGAAGTATTTTGAATGTTCATCTGAGAATCCTTCAACTCCTCTTAGCTACACGATTGATTTAGCTTCTGAGATTTCAGATGTGGACAAAGCAAGGTACTTTCCTTTCTTCCTTAATTTTGAAGATGGTGACGTTGAGTGGCTCCCAGATTTAAAGCCTTATGCATGCTCATTTGAGAACCTTTCAACTCCTCTGGGTTACAAGAGCAACTCTCTCTCTGAGATTTCAGATTTGGACAATGTACGTAACATAGATTCTTTACTCAATCTTGAAGGCGAAGAATCCCAGTGGCTCTCTGATTCCAAATCTTTTGAATGTTCATCTGAGAATCCTTCAACTCCTCTTACATTCAAGAGTAAAATTTCAGATTTGGATAAAGCTTGTTACTTGCATTCCTTACTAAGTCTTGAGGATGATGACTCTGAGTGGCTCTTAGATTCAAAGCCATATGCATGTTCATCTGAGAACCTTTCAAAGCCTCTCAGCTACAGGAGTAATGTTATCTCTGACATTTCAGATTTGGACAAAGCAACTTACATGCATTCTTTACTCAATCTTGAAGATGAAGACTCTGAGTGGCTCTCAGATTCAAAGTCTTTTGGATGTTCATCTGAAAACCCTTCAACTCCTCTTAGCTACAAGTTTGATGATGTTTCTGATATTTCAGATTTGGACAAAGAATGTTACTTGCAAAACTTTGACCAACTCTTAGCTAGTAAATCTTACTATGGATGTTCCTCTGAGAATTCAACTCCTCTTAGCTCCAAGTGTGATTCTTACAATGAGATTTCTGATTTGAACAAAGCAAGTTACTTGCATTCCTTTCTCATTCTTGAAGATGAAGACTCTGAGTCGTTCTCAGATTCGATTGGTTTGGACATTGTGGTTCCTCCTTCAGTCTCTCCTGCTTCTCTCGTGGGAGAAAACTTTGACAACTCAAAATATAATATTTCAATGGAGAATCTATTTGAAACTGCAGGTGTGAAAGAAGAATTCAGTGCTGAGGAACCATTGTTTTGGCCATTGGAAGGGAAACTCAATTGGAAATCTGAGGAACCTTGGAGTTCATTTTGTAGCTCCCCGAGGGGAAGGTTTGCATTGAAGTCTAGACCAACCACTTCAAAGATAAATGAGAGTAATAAACAAAAAGGTGATGAGGCTCTATGGAGTGTAAACTGTGAAATTTCAAGGTCATGCATGTGGTCTAAAAGTTCAGTAAAGATAGTACCTCTAGAGTGTGAGGATATCAAATCAGCCAAGGACTTTCTTCTGGGAAAGGATTATTTTGATTTGGGTCAAGAGCTTCCCATTGAGACATTGGTGGGGCTGAAGGAATTTGATGGACATGAGGGTCTTGATTCAGAATTCAATGATGTTTTTATGTTGGACGGAAAACAACTCCAATAATTCAAAAACGAACGACGCTCCTAACCTATTGAAGAGCAAAGATGACTGCAACTTACAGGTAGTAAATCACTATAACTATAACCCCTTTCCTGTTTATATGATCTAATGTTTTTCTGTGTCTTAATTAAATGTGTAGTTCCCTAATTGAATAACATAGGTAATTAGACACGGGTGTACTTATAGGTCACATCATGTTCAGAAATAGTTAAGTTACTAGCTACACTTTTGACCATGCATATGTATTTTCACAGTTTTCATAGTTTCTTTTTTTTTTTTTGGTGTGTGTTTATCACATCGGTGACAGTGAGACACTTTTGTCTAATATTATCATCAGAAGTTAATTTTGTTTAATTGTTGTGCACCTTTTGTTGTGCACCTTTTTGGGGCAGTTTTTTGCATTTACTTTTCGATTTTTTTTTAAAATATGATTCAAAATAAAAATTCTTAAAGAAAGATATGTAACTGAACCGAACTTGCATCCCCACTATCTATATTTCAGGTCAACTCATCGTCATGTGCTTCAAAAATTATAAAATTAATTTGAAATTATTGAATGGATTTCAAAGATAAATAAATGTAAAAAATAAAAAACTCAACAACAATAACAACCCATTTTATATATTCTTTAATTTATTTGGAAATAAATAAATTATTGATTACATTCTTATCTTTAATTTTATTTTGCGATTTTTTAAATCAATCTAATTTTATCTCAAGTTAATCTTCATGTTTCTAAAATTATCAATTTTTTTATAAATAAATTACATTGATATTCATACAACAACTTACTGTAACAAATAAAGTAGAAATATTGGATGAATTTCATAGATATCACTAGCTTTTCAAAGATGTCTAATTTTATTTCTTAAATTTTTCCATCAACACTATTAGAAGATTTTCTTCAAACCCTTTAATGTTTTTCATTGATATTTTAAGTTTTTCCTTTCTTTCAAACTTCTTTTAATCAAAGCAAAATAAAAATCTGGGCAAACATTTATAACACTTAAGAAAATAAAAGTAATATTAAAAATAATATAGCATGAAATCAATTTTATTATAACTTTATTCTTAATACTGAGAAAATAAAATATTTGTTTAACATATAATATATTAGTTATATTTAAATATAGTCAAAATTACGGATAATTTGATAATATATGATTTCTCTGAAGATATACATGTTTCATGCATTATTTTTTTAATAATGGTGGGTCAATAAAATATACCTAAAAAACTCAACACAGTGTGAACAACTAATTGAACCCTTATTAGCTGTGCCCTATCCTAAAACAATTGATGACTAACTTTATTTTTCTATAAACAATGATCATGTTGTTTGGTGCCCCAAAGATTCCTATAAAGATCTTACCTAAATTTCAAACTTCAAAAAATGGCAGGGTTCATTGAAAAAGAAAACAGAGAAGTATATACACAATAGATAAGAAAGAGTGCAATATATTATGTTAAATTGGGATTATAAATAATTACAGATGAAATAAATAATAATAATAATAATAACAATAATAAATAATGATAATATTAATTTTAATCAGAAATGTCAAAAAGAGATAGAAAGAATTATTTGCCCCATTTTTTTTCTAAAAAAGATCGTAAATTTATATTATTTCTATATATTTTTAATTTCCTTATATTTCACTTTTATGGAATGAAACATATGATTAATAATGAGAATGAAATATTGAAGTGAATATTAATTTATTTACCAAAAAGAAGAAAAGTGAAAAAAAGGTGTAGTCTAGAGACAAGCGTGTGATATGATATGGCCCCACCCCGTAATCGTCCAACCAAAAACAAACATACATGGAAAGGGTACTTTGGGAATTTCGTGCTTTGCAGGCCTCTGACGTCGAAGCTTCTCTGTTTCTGCTCGTCTTTCTTCTTTACAAATCACAACTTTGAACTTTTGGCTCTTTTTCATTCCTCACCAAATCCAACTCCTCTTTCTTCCGCCACACTGCCATTGACCTCTTCTCTCTTCAGGTACTCTTCTCTCTCGCGCTATTCTCCTTCAATTATTGTTTTTCCTCAATTCATTTTATGTTTACTATTGATTATTTTTGTTTGTTCCTGATCTTCTCTTATTCTTCCATGAATTGTTTAGTTTTTCTATTTGAACTTGCATCGCTTGAAGTCCGAAGTTTCTTTTCTTACTCGCAGTTGCAGGACTCTCGATTTGAAGCTCCGTGTTGATCGATACCTGCTGCTGTTTTTTCCTTTTAGCCACAGGTAAATTTTCCCCTCTTTTTAGCTTCGAAGCAGAAAAACCTTTCAATTTTTGTATCCTTGTATGCAATTGGCCACCTCAAACTGTGTTTGAAATATATAAAATGTCCTTGTATGTTTGTGGTCATTGTCTATTATTGTTTTTATTTTTATGTGTTAATTTGAAAATTTTGCAGTAGCTTATCTTATCAGTTATTGCAGGAGATTGCCTTTAATATCAATTGCAATGCGTGCACCGGCGTTACTTGCACAGTGCTTACCAGGCCTAGTGCCCCATGATCGTGGAAGTCTCAGCATATCCTCCGTTCCTGAGAAAGATATTCATCTCCCATCACCAGCCGTGGAGATTCTCCCTTCCAAGGTACAATTCCTGTTTATACAATGAGCTATCAATCACCACTCAACCCCCTAAAAAATGTTGAAAGGGTTGTGGCTAAACAGTTTGATGCTGATCCAAATATTTCGGGCTTTTGCAGGCAGTTCACACTGACAGGGATAATGGGGAGAATGTGGATCATTTTAAGGTACATCTTAATGTGGTCGAATTATAGATTTGTTTTGTGAAGGATGGTTGAGTCAGATGGCTTGTCTCCTAATGTACAATTCTTTATGGCAGACTGGTGTTATTGAAGTATTTTAGATTGTCTTTTATTGTCTTTTTTGTAACAAATATCAATACAATGGATGTAAGTTAAGCATTTGTTTCATAAAGATTATTCTTCGATAATAAAATTTTCCTGCTAAGTCATACTGAAATAAGACCTATTGGTTACATTTCCATGGTTTATTACGTGCTTTTGAAGTATTTTACACGATGGGTTTTCAATATTTCTTAATAACACTTAATATTTGTTTCATTTTCTTGGAAACTTTTCATTTATTCTTTTTGAAAATTTCCTCATAAATATTCTCCTCAACAAGATTAACATAATGTTAATTTTATATCTCTAGTCAGTTTCACTGATGCTCTTTTAAACCTGTGACAGGGGTTAGTTAGTGTTGCTGATATTGTTGGATTCAGTGGTTCGGAGGCAATATCCTTGAAACCTGACGGTATGTAACTGATGTTTCAGACTGTAGGCATTGGATACATGATTGATGTTTTCTTGCGAACAAGCATTTTCTTTCAAGTTCATCACTCCATAAAAGTAACATAGATGAGGAATTAATTCAGCATACATCCTTATAATGTTATAACATTGCTTAAAGCAAAATCTTATTTGACATGAAGCAAAGTGACCAATCGTTAAGGTTAGATTATTATCATCATCCTAAAAAATTTAGCCAAGCCTCACAGCCATATTAAATCAGAAAAAATAATGACAAGATTCTTCTTGAGGACAATATCTTTTCATAGTTACGCTTTTGCTATATACATGTAATTTATTGTCTCATAAGTACGATGACTGATGTTATCAAATTTACTTATTTGACTTTATAGGTTATCTGAAATGCTGGACTAGTTCCATTGATCTTGTTAGTGTTCTTAAGCATGAGATTCGTGATGGGCAACTGACCTTCAGAGGAAAAAGAGTACTTGAGGTATATTGTCCATGAACGTTTATTGCTTTTAACTTGACTGCATTCAATTATTGCACAACGACGTCCTTTCCTTACTATTCAAATGTTCAAAATGTTAGCTACATCTACACGAGATTTCCTTCTTTTCTTCTTCCTTAATAACCATTTTTTCAATCACGTTTGTTCAGTTCCTTCTGGTCCTTTTAATGAAAAACATTTCTTTATGTTAAAAATACTATCATTATTTCTTATAAAAAGGACTAAAGGTAGTATTGATTATTCATAATTTACAAATACTTTCATGTATTTTGCAGCTCAGTTGCAACTATGGACTGCCTGGAATTTTCGCTTGCTTGAAGGTATAAAGTTTAGGATTGGGGTATCACCTTATCCTTTTTGCTGGTTATTTGTTACTAGTCTATTATGTATATGCTGGAAAGAATAAATACGGTAGATGGTTTCCTAAAGCAAAGTTCGTTTGGATATCTGTTTGCACAATTGATAGACATGGACTGAAATTTAACTTGTGTGGGCAGTGGTTCTTTGTTATTTGATTGGTTGGATTACACTGTCTTCTTGGTATGATTGCCAAAAGTTTTATTTCTTTTTCGGGTAATATTGCACAAAGACACTAAAGTAAATAGAAAGGCGAGAAGATTTTTGTGTTTTTGGGAGAATAATTAGCAACGAGAAAAAATTTAACCTGAATATTCAAAGATATCCACTAACTCTTTGGAAATAACATGATTTGTCCTCTATTTGGTTGTATATTTAACAGGGAGCTTCTGTGGTGCATTTTCAAGATCAGAGTGCAGAAACTGTAAGATGCACAACTATACCAAATGTCCTTGCTAATCTCAAAAAAGCCCGTGATAGGCAGAGTCGACAGCCTGAGTCTCCTCTTACTCCTTCAAGACAGACTCTGGCACCATCGGTTAACTTCTATGCTGGGGACTGGGAAGAATTACCTACCGTGCTGTCTATTGTGAAATGTGAAGGATATGAACTGATTCCTGGAATGAGTTTGAGCTTTTCTGAGGAAGATTTTTTGGAAGGATGTAGTAGCCAAGATGGTAGCATAATTGGACATGAATCTTACTCAAGACGGTCTAGGAAGCTCTCAGGAAGTCGAGCATGGGAAAGAGGTAGTCAGGCAGATGAAGGAGAGGGTGGCTATGATGTTATCTTAATGACGGAGATTCCATACTCCCTTACCTCATTGAAGAAGCTGTATGCGCTGATTAAGAAGGTTTGTTTTTCTATACTTGGTTCTCTATCCTCCCTGAAAATCTTGTATTTGCTTTCCTTATACTGTTGTTTTAGTAAAGATCACATACATGGCATGTGTTGTTTATTAGACAAGTGGCTGATCATGGTGTGCTTGCATGTGAGTTGTGTTTTCCGACCTTGTTGATTTATTTTTAGCCTTTGGGCAGTAGCATGCTTATAACGATGGATGTTGTAACTATGGCATTGCCCTGATTGCCAAAGTTTCTCCTTTCTATTTTAACTGAAATATTAATATTAAATTGAGTTTCAAATTGTAACCGCATTACTTTAATTCCTCTTTTTTTTTTTTTTTTTTTCCTTCTGATATCAGTGCTTGAGGCCCCCATATGGTGTGGCATATCTAGCTCCTACCAAGAGGCACTATGTTGGCGTCAGTAATGGAGTACGACAACTAAAAAGTCTAGTAGACGAGGAGGGAGTTTTTGGAGCACATTTAGTCAAGGATTTGGCTGACAGGGATATCTGGAAGTTCTTTCACAAGTAAAACGAGAATTCGAAAATCAGATACTACCTTAGCAAACATACGATAAAAAAATTCTAATGACACCATACATTGTTATAATATGAATCACAGGCATTCTTTTGTTTTTTAAATCTATAATTTCTCCATTTTTCTTATAGCCTAGTAGTAATGAAGGTCTGAATTTGAACGATCGGTTAATGTGCATCATCAGCTTGAAGCTGCCTCGTAATTGAGTAAATTCCCACATTAATCCTCGTAATTGCTTGGGTTGAACACTTTAGTTCATGATATCTTAAACTGTGTTAGTCGTTACTTTTACCAGGTAGCATTCATTTTAACTTTTTTTTAGTGTAAAATGATACTTCCTCTGTTAACTGATAGACTAATAGAAGATTTTGGAAATCTTAGGGATTATAATCTCGAGGATTAATGTGGAGATTTACTCCATCTAATTCTTTTGCACACTTATCTCGATGAAAATGAAATTCAGATATTGGATTTGTATGTCAAACGTTAGTGCATTGAAAAGTAGTAGTAATTTTTACCCATTTTATCCCTAACACTTTGTTTTTAAAAAATACATTTCCATATTCTATCCTTTTTTTTTTCTTAGAACAAATTATGAATTCCGAAGCAAATTAATTATTTTATATTAATTATTGTCTTATGTATTTACGAGAGTGAAAATATATAGTGCAAACCATAATTAATTACACTAATTTAAATTCAACAAACATTTATTAATCCATAATAATCCTAAAAATGAAAAGAAGGAAGTAATATTTTTAAAAATATTAATCAGTGTCCTAAAGGTGCTGGTTAAATAATTAAAAGTAAATTTTACTTTACTAAAACTTATTAATAGTTTGGCTAACGATTGGTTGGAATTAGTAAGTAAAAAAGATAGTGATGCATTGAAGGTTGTATTGAGAATATTAAATATTATTTCTTCTAATTCTTTTACTAAAACCAACTACTGTATTAATTAATCAATTCACATGACACATCACACACACAATTGATTATGGAGAAACTCTATTGGGCCAAAAAAAGCAAGCCCATAAGCACAATGCCTAAACCAAAAGTTAAAACCCCCATCTAAATTGAGTGCGAGCAAGAGAGTAAAGCGAAGTGAAGAAGATTATCGAAGGATGGAATCTCGGTCTGTTGAAGGCGAAGAGGAGCAGCGCCGCGTGCCGCTCAGGGAGAGACCGGAGTGGTCCGATGTAACTCCACTTCCGCAAAACGACGGCCCCAACCCCGTCGTTCCGATTCAGTACACCCAAGACTTCGCCGAAGTCATGGATTACTTTCGCGCCGTTTACTTCGCCGATGAACGCTCCCCTCGCGCTCTCGCTCTCACCGCCGAAGCCATCCAATTCAACTCCGGCAACTACACTGTACGTCTATTTGTATATATGTCTTTCTATTTCTCTATATCACAACCTAAATCAATTCAAATCGCGTTTCAATTTTCCTCTGCGACAAATCTTCATCACTCACTCGTCACTAATATGTGTCGTATAATCATATTTGAAGTTAATGCTGCCGATTATTGTTTACGTATAATGATTGAAGGAATTTGTCTGTGGTTTGTTTTCAGGTGTGGCATTTCCGGCGGTTGTTACTTGAGTCGCTAAAAGTTGACTTGCACACTGAACTGAAGTTTGTGGAGCTTATGGCCGCTGGAAATTCAAAAAATTATCAGATGTGGTGAGATGCTCTGCGCTGATCTTTGTTCGTAACTTCAATTCCACTTCATTTTGATTGGCGATCTTGTTAGCTTGTTCAAAAACTATTACAGGATAAGAAAATAACGTTGAATTAAAATTTTCACATAAGTAAAAATCAACTTGTGTGCTAGTAGTATTTTCATAATTATTTTTTGACTTCTCCGAAACCTTTACAAGGACTTTGTTGTTAGGAAACAAATAAATATATATTTCTTTTCATTTTAGTAAATTTATTCTTAGACTTTGTTTTGATTTATAATAGAGAGAAAATAAGAAGGTAGAACTTCTTCATAAACTAAAATCACTTATGCACCTTAGTTTTGGTATAAATTAATAATAAAAGGAGTTCTATTGAAGTTAGTGTATTAGTTATATATAAGTTTATTTTAGCTCACGCGAGAAGCACAGTTTATTTTATCTTCTTCTCTTATTATTGCTTATAGCGAAGTTTACTAAAAAAAGGGTTATAGTGTGAAAATTTATGAGCTGTGGTGTCTTTGAAGCAGGTGCTTTGAAATGCTTTTTTGTTCATAACGACTTGACATTCCAGTTGCGTAAAACCATTTTTACCATGGTTCTTCTGTATGCTATGTTTGGTAATTGGAAGTCGTTTCCTCTGTACATGATGTGCATTCACGCTGTCCTGAATTGAAGTGCTTCTGAGAATAACTTCTTTTGTACGCACATCATCAGAGTGATCTTCATGCCAGATGTTTTGTAGGCATCATAGACGATGGGTTGCTGAGAAGTTGGGACCTGAAGCTAGAAACGATGAGCTTGAGTTCACTAAGAAGATACTCTCTATTGATGCCAAACATTATCATGCATGGTCTCATAGACAGGTTTGTTTCTCACATTGTCGACACAAATCTAATTGCTCAAAATTTTAGTATTTGTATCTTTGTCTCAGGCATAGTTTAATTATTAAGACCCTTCATTTGTTGTGTGGACAGTGGGTTCTTCAAGTACTTGGAGGATGGGAAGATGAACTTGAGTATTGCTCAGAACTTCTCGAAGAAGACATTTTTAATAATTCTGCTTGGAATCAGGTATTCTAGTATGGTACCTGCTATGTGTTAGTCTAAATAGAACATGTCATTACGAATACTCATCATGGATTTGTATAATTGTTGCGTAACTAATTGAGGTCAATTGCCTACTCTCACACACCCCCATACCCCTAATCTTACATTTTCCAATAATTACAATTGAAAAATAGCAATGTTCTTGTATTTTGTTAAAGTTCCGTATCATTTTTAATTTTAGCTAATGGGGGTCGTTTTTTCCTTATAGGCTTTCTACAAACACTAGATCTTTAATAGTAAAAATAATTAGAGGTTCAATTTCTTCAATATAATTTAACTATTAAGAATTTGATGCAATATATATCATAAAAATGTAAGAAAATAAAATAAAATATTGTGAAAAAATAATTTGATTGATAAATATTATTTCAATGATAATATATATATATATATATAAATTTTTAAAATCTCTAAATTATTGTAATTAATAAAATAAATACTTTCTTTCATCTGAATAAAGATTTACATGTAAAATGTGATTTCATCAGAAAACAAGATTTACATATAATATGTGCTTTCATCATAAGAAAGGGCATGATTTAACTTCGTGAGAAAAAAGAGGTCTCAAATTTATTATATGGGTGTGAATCAACTAAATTCTGCTATAAGAGTTGCCAAAAAAGAAAAATCTTCCACATATTGTGCATCAACCTTGTTGTCCAGCATTCTTCCCCTTACCTGCCTCAATTTATTAATGAGGAAGTAGAATCTTTGAGTACATATAATATGCTCAAGGGTAAAGTTATTAATGCTCAATAAAAATCTATTATATTTTCAAATATTTTTCTTCATTAATTCTTAGTTAGAAAATTAACAGTTAATATTTTTTACAGAGATATTTTGTGATATCAAGGTCTCCTTTCTTTGGGGGGCTAACAGCTATGAGAGAGTCGGAAGTGCTTTACGCCATTAAAGCGATTATAGCCCACCCTGAAAATGAAAGCTCGTGGAGATATCTACGAGGACTTTATAAAGGTGAAACCACTGCATGGGTAAATGATCCTCAAGTTTCTTCTGTGTGTTTAAAGATTTTGAAAACTAAGAGCAATTACTTGTTTGCTCTTGGCACTATGTTGGATCTTATATGCTTTGGTTATCAACCAAGTGAGGAGATGAGAGATGCCATTCACGCTTTAAAGACAGCAGATATGGATAAACAAGATTTTGATGATGCGAGGGGGGAACAAAATTTAAATATAGCACGAAATATTTGTTCTATCCTAGAACACGTTGATCCAATTAGAACCAACTATTGGATTTGGCGCAAGAGCCGGCTTCCTCTATCAGCTTAGTACCAACCAAACTAATTAAGAGACAACTCTATTTCATGTGTAATTTGTACCTAGTTTATTGAAAGTGATGTTTGTTTTTTGCTATGCTGTCATGTTTCTTTTGGTACAGTTTGTTACTGTCATTTGAGAGTCTCTGCAGAATAATTATAAGTCTTTTCCTTTGGGAATGCAGGTCACTTGAATAAGTTCATGATTAACAATTGGATCCATAAGTCATCCTTATCTCTATATAAATTTAATGAATACATTATCGTAAAAAAATAAAATTAACGAATTTGGTGGGTTTATGTATTGTTAGATTAACAAGTAATTCAACGAAAGAAATTATTGACTTTTAAATGAGAAGAAACGTCGCTCAGTATACCTCTATTTCTTAAATTGATGGTCTGGTCGGATTTGTGAATCATAAAATTTTCCTGAAGCAAGAAACGTTAAAAATCAGTCAAAACTGATATAATTAAAAGATTTTAATAATTAGATATTTTAAATTTCTGTCCACTGTCAGAATTAATGGAGAGCTAAAAGGGAGGGGCATTCCGAGAATTGAACTCGGGACCTCTCGCACCCTAAGCGAGAATCATACCACTAGACCAAATGCCCTGTTCTTGGTCAATGTTTTCAAGTAAAAACCTAAACAATTATTAATGAATGTTTGATAAGAATGACAACTAATAATTGAATCCCTGCAAGTATTATGTTTTCTCCCTTAGTTTCGATGATAGTAGCAAAGAATTTAATTTAAGTTATTGAATTAGTATAAAATTCCATTCTATTTTCGAGTGAAGGAAAGACTATGTTGTTATATAGCCAACTTATAATGAGAATTATGATTAAGTTTTACGAAAACAATTTGTCAGTACACATTTAAGTTAATCTCCAAAAACAGCATTTACTAAATCAAGTACATGAATATAGGGTTCTCAGTGATTTTATAATAAATATTCATTTCCAAAATTTGTAAAATGAATATTTTGCAGTCTTAACATGATAGTAAAGCTATTATCTTATAAACAGAAGATCATTTGTTTAATTTGAGAGCAATCTTTCAGCTTACAAACGCCGATCTTGGTTCCTCTCACTTTAGAAAATAAAATAATCAATTTCAGAATATCAATTCTGGATATCACATGTATGATGTACGTGCATTTGTTAGAACTGCAATATTAACGTTTTATCAAAATTGAATTAATTTTTCTCCTGTTTCAAAGGAGTCAAATCCTTCCACATGAACCTCAGAAAAAAGTTTATCCGCTCCAAGAGGATAGATTAAGGTTTCTTGTTCAATGCAAGCTTTTTGGACTTGGATGAAAAGCTTGAAGCCTCCTTGTATGCTGATGGACAGAAGCTACATACACTACACTCTCCACAGTGAGGCCGTAGAGAAGTACAAATCGTTCGTCCAAATCCTACCTGTTTACATTCAAATCAAAGGATGATGTATACACAATGTTGTAAGATAAAGATAGACGGGTAAACAAGCCCCAACAAGCTTTTAATAATGCAGTAAAAAGAGAATAGTAGAGCAACCAAATCTATTGATAATGATATACAGTCAAAAGAAATGGGCTTAGCATACCAAAAGAGGATTTATTGGAACCCATTCTTCCTTCGGAAGCCACCGTTGCAGCCCTTTTCTGGTTTCTTCCGGTGTCCTAGTTTTCTAGCAAATGGAAGAGGATTAATAACTTTCATTCTATGACATTAGCAGCAAAAACTTCTTTGCTGAACCGATTCATAATTGCAGCAACTGTCAGATATCACGGTAAACAAGTGATATGATGGATAGTGAGTCAGTAACATTAATATGTTTTAACATAATCGCATAAGATATATAAGCCTTGACAACCTTAGGATTTATTTGAAATTTTTTATCTGATCAGCAAACAAGATTATTACAACTATGGCAAGTCCTAATTGTATTGTCTACATCAGCACCTAGATGGAAGGATTGTTGGGAGACAATGAACCATGTAACAAAGGCCAATAATACTTGACAGATAAGATAACTGTTAGAAAGCGAAGACTTATCTCAATCCTCCAAACCATATACAAATTTCTGACGATAACACTCCGTGTTCAAGTTTGGTATCAGAAATGAAACTGGTAACACTTTGTAATACGAGTAAAAAATATTATCATAAATATATATTTTTCAATAAGAATTTCAATTTCAGAAAATCAGTGAAGAAGCATAAGATGTGATGCCATCAAACTTATATGAACCTGTTTTGAGCCTGATCTCGAAACCCACCCAAGACGATTGCAAATGCGGTGGACATGAGTATCTACACATATCCCTTGGACATCGTTCCATCCAAGAATCATAACCTGTACTGCCACAAACGAAGTATTTAAAGAGGAAATCAAAGCACACTAACAAAATGAGCCTAAAAAAGTATTGGCCAATACAGGTGACACTCATTTAGGAATCAGTCCTGTTGAACTATATTTTACGTTTTAGTTCTGAGAAAAATGAGAACTTTAGTCCCTATACACCTTTATAAGGACTAAAACTTGAGCTATTTCATACAGGGACTAACTCCTACTGAGTGTCATGTATAAGGAGGACCAATGATTATTTCAAGAAAAATGAAAAGGAAAAATGCTGTTTGAAATAGAAAAGCATTTTGTATGTACCAGATGAGCTATTTTCGGACCTACTCCTGGCAGCAAGAGTAGTTCCTCAATTGAGCTGGGTATGTCTCCATCATACTTCATGAGACAAATATTTGCAATTTTCTTCAAGTTACTGGCTTTTCTTGTATAAAATCCTACCTTGGAAAAGAATACTATAAAGCATAAGCATGGGTATTTAATTAATACGGTATAACATGAACATAGCAACAAAAGAATTTGTCGAAACATAAAAAATGGTTTCCAGCAGCTACAGTAGATACTTGGCAAAGAACATACTGGGTAAATAAACTTTTTGATGGTTTCTTCATCAGCTTTGTTCATTGCTTCAGCCGTAAGCAGACCATTTTCATGAAGACGTTGGGTCGCTCCTATTCTTACAAGTAAACACTTGTAATTAAATACTTTAAACAGTTTAATAAGCAATTTAAACATGATAACACATACAAGAGGCAAATTATTAATCACAAAGAAAACAGGTGATAACCATATTTCATATATATCATGCAATATGGGAAATATCTAATTTTTCTTCCTATCTTTCAGAGTGAGGACTGAGGTACTGTAATGAATACATAAATTTTCCATTTTTTTGCTAAATTATTTTCTGTTACTCTTACAGTATTTTGCATTTTTATGTTGAGGGTAGCGCCCATGAACCAGAAAATACAAAATGTTTTCTTGGATTCAACAAGTAAAGGATATAACCTTCACTCCCTAGAAGTGACCATCAAAGTCAAAAACCCGCTTAAACATTTTGTTCATCAGCACTCTGTCTAACCCAATTGAGTGTAGATAAAATTCTAGAAACCTACATAGCTGTGTGAAAAACTTCTGAATTTTTTTCACCTTCTTATTAGCAATTATGATGACTTCAAGCATTATCCAACTCGATCAGACATTTTGGCAAAAGCCTTGTCAACAGGAATTATGTTCACTTGACTACTTCTCAAGTGGCCTAGAAATAAACTTCCATGTTGATGTAGGAGTTTTGTAACTAAAAAATCAGTCGACCTTTCAAGTTGATTTCTTAACCTGCAGGAAAATTATCTTTTTTGTACTTCAGCAAAATTAGTCAAAATGACTTCTGTACAGGACTCATTTTCTTAGACTATATGAGTCATCTCTTCCTCTTTGCTTTCCATCTCAATGCAAAATAAGCTTTTGGGAATTCAAGATAATATTACTTTCAGTTGATGTGGGATAAATGCAGCTAATATGTACTTTGGATGAGGCAATAGTGTGCCTCAGGATGAATCTGTGTATACCGCAAGCTGACAACAAGACACAGGCAAGAAAACTAACACCTTTTATACCCATAAACTGGAGAATGCATGCATGCTTACCTCGGGTAACATGTTCCTTAGTTTGGCTTGATAAAAGGGAAGATGCCAGGACAGCAAATCTTCTTTCCTATGTATAATCATCAGAATTTACATAAGGATAGATTTGTCCACAATATCATGCTTCATAAAGCATGCTGAATTAGAGTAAAATAGTGCTCCATAATCAAAATAGTCAATAGAAAATACCCATTACAAGATTAAAAACTTGTATTAACTTGTAATGTTTAACAGGAGACAGCAAATAGGTGATAGATTAGTTGCATGAGAATGAGCAATGCATTTAATGGTAGCAGGATGCAATGTTAGACCTTAGGAGGTGCAGTATCATTAGCAGCTTCCTCACGTGAAACAGGTTCATGTTCATCTGCAGAACTCCTCATCTGACGAATCCCTTGAAGAACCTTTTTCCAATTGGCAGGGGCTTCACCTACATACATGAACTACATAAGTTAATCTTTCTGAACCAAGTACACAGTGTAGATGCAAGAGACACTTACCATTTTGAACCAATTCATTTGGTCTTGTGTGTGCAAGTGCAATTCCTGAGATCTCCTGTGTAGAGGCAAACTCACATCAGAATGAACCTTACTCCTGCCTTAACAGATTCATATCACAAATAACAACAGTATTTTCATAAATGGGATCAATTAAAGGATTCAAAAATCCTGTTTGAAAATTGAAACCCCCCAAGCTCAAACAACAATGAAACTAAAAGTCTCACTTTTTTATGGTTTTCCGTTTCAATTTCAGGAAAGTGTTGAAGCTGCAAGCTTTTACTGCTTCTTTTGTTTGTCACAGAGGCTCCAAGTTGGGACCCTGAAGCAGAAATGGAAGTAAGAATTTTGTTTGATAGACTAAGAAAAAGAGAAATATTTTGTGAGTGAGGAGAGGTTGCAAAACCTGGATGGGGTTTTGAGAAAAAAGAATGACTTCTTTTGGCACAAAGAGAGACATGTATTCTGCCCAAACCAAACCAAGAAACTACCAACATTTTTGGCCACCACAAACACAGTTACCAACAAACAAATTAAAATTGTTTTGTCTTTATTAAAAACTACTATTTCTTCTTCTCCACCATATATTCTTCCTATTTCTTATAGGAGATTCTATGTTGTTTTGTATAGTTTTATTTTTTTTTTCTCCTTCACAAAATTTACTTTGTTCAAATAATAGTCTTTGAAAGAATTTTCTTGGCTCATTTGCATAAAATCTCATTACATAATAAACTCAATTACTTAATAATTTATATCATCAAATCAATATTTTAAACTGATTTATTGAATTTTGTTATCTAGTATTTTATAATATTGGTTTAGGGTATCTGAATCGGCCGTGTTCTATTATTAATCGTGAATCAATTTCAAAACCTGATTTTGTATTTATGTAAGTCATGGAGGGTATCTGAATCGGGTCATATTCTACTCAGACATTAATATGATTTGAAATTTGCAGTCTTTTCACAGTATTGTATCTTTCCAATGGAAAATTCATTTCAAAAAGTCACTCCTTATTTTACATATTCACTTTTCTTTTAAAAAATACATTGCTGTCAATTTAATTTTAAAATATTGTCAATAATATTATATCTTAAAATATGTTTAGATATAAAATATTATAATATAATTTATCAGAAAATGCCCAATTTGTCACCATACCAAAGTTAATGAGTTTGATTAGGGAAAAAAATTGTATGAAAAAAACGAGATAGGGAAACATTTTTGACAAAAATAATAAAAAAATGCACAAAATTGATTCATTAGTTATGAATTTTTACTATTATAATAATAATAATAATTGCTAATATTAATAAATAATGGATAATATTATTACTAATAAATAAAATTATATAAAAATTTATAAAAAAGAGAAATAAAAAACTTTCATTATAAAAAATATAAATAAGTAAAAAAATTACATATTATAAAATCATTAATATATTTATTTTAAAGAAAAATACTTTTAAAAAATATTTATTTTTTATCATTTTCTCTTCACACATTACAAAAAAACATCTTAGAATACTTTTTTTATTAACTAGTTTTTTTTTTCTATTATTTTTCAACCGAGATCACTCTTCCCTTTCTATTTAAAGGACGGGATAGCAATGGTCACGCCTTTTCTCTCCGAAATTCACCACTGAACCCTCCTTTCTCTTCGAGATTCTTTTATCAGAAAGTAGGAACCTTTTCCAACACTTCTCCGATGAAAATGGATTGTTGAGATTATTTGCATGCATGTCTTAACAAAAACTATATATCACTAAAAATCATGGCACTTGTTCAATTTGGTTGCATTTTTGTTTTTCTTCTTCCTCTTTGCCGAAGATTCTAACAATCACTCACACAGCTGAAAACTTTGCAAGTTGTTCTTTAAGGTCTATCATTTAACTATATTGCATGTGATAGGTGGAGCTCAAAGGTGACTAAAATTGAAAAACATGGCTTCTTCAGATGTGTGTTCCACTGAGGATGCTCTTAAGGCATTCTTAGAATACTTGGTTGATCCAATGCTGCCAGCAAAACTTTCTCCATCTTATAACCCCACACTATCTCAGCAGCAGTCTGTTGCAAAACAGGTATCCTAACTCATCCATCTCTTTTATTCTTGTACAAAGATTAAACTAGGTGGCCTGTTTAGATACAGGATTAAGTAGTTTTTTTTTTCTCTCCACTTGGAGGATTTCTGAGATGTTGGTAAAAAGAAATATACAATTTATATCCTAGGATCCATTAAGATAAAGACTCCTCTCTTTTTTTCCATTTAAATTTTTTTGTAATCATATCTGAAATGTAGTTTATTTTAACCATTACACTACAGTAAAATACACAAAGAGATTTGATGAAATTCTGATTTGATGAAATTCTAAGTGTCGAACATTTCAAATCTACGAAGAAGCAGTCAGTGACACAAGAGATTTGACCTGTTTAACTCAAGACAAGATTGATTTATGAAACTAAACTAAACTAAATTGTCTTATTCTTTTTTGTTTTTTGCAAAATTCTCTAGTGAAATAAATTTTTCAATATATTTACTGAATTTTTTTAGGCCAACATTCTTTTGGTTTATTCCGTTTATCACTGAATTTAACCTTGAAAGCTACACAGTTTATCACTGAATTTAACCTTGAAAGCTACACAGTTACACTTAGTCGTTGTATTTGATAATATGAAGCCTTATAAAACCCCATATCCAAATCTCATTCATCAAAGCTGGACTCAAGTCTGAAACTGTTATAGGATCCTAACATTCACAGTCCTCCACAGTCTGCAGATGCAGACTAGTAGTGCATCAGCCCCTTGACTAATCCTGTGTAAACATTACAGAGTCAGTGTTACCACTCTACAAAGTACAACAACAACATACTTCCAATGTGACTCAAGTCTCATACCTTGCAATAGATCCTAGCAGTCTCAATGCAATCTTTATAAAAATAGATTTAAAGTTCACATTTCATTATGCATCAAGGATAAGTTTATTTTGTAGTTTTCAAGATATATGAGATGAGGTAATTTATCTGCCTATTATTTATTCTGGATTTCATTGTTATCTGTGTCAGGTTCATTCCGTTGTGTTACTGTACAACTACTACCACAGAAAACAGTATCCAGAGCTTGCTTTTCTGTCCTCTGATGAATTTTGCAAGTTAGCTGTGGCTCTGAGACCTGCATTATCAGTGCATACAAAATTCACCCAGAAGCCTGATGAAACTGAGCTTGTTGATGTGAAGCAGTTGCCTATAACTGCAGACAAGATCTTAAATGCATGTAATATATGTAAATGTTTAGATACATCAAAAAATGTCCCTGATGTGGAAGGATGGCCCGTTTCAAAAGTTGTTGTCCTTTTAATAGACAATAAGAAGGAGAACTGTTTCTTGATTTTTAGTTCCATCACTGAGGGGGTATGGTCACTGGTTGAAAAAGATGTGGAAACAATCTGCCAAAGTTCTGAAATTACAACAGGAGACAAACCTACTTCCAAAAAGAAAAGAGTCATTAAAAAGTCTACAAAAAATGAGTTAAATTTTGAAGAAGATGGAATGTTGCAATTTGGATATTCTGCTGTAAAGGAAACTGCGGGTAATTATCCTTTTACTGAAAGATTGTCTCAACTATTTTTAGTGACTACTATATTTTAATTTTAACTATAGCATCACATATCAGGGGATATTATTCTGTGTAAGTTTTTATCAATATCCAATGTGTAGTGAAGAAGACTAAATAAGTTTCATATGAAGTTTTAGTTTGTTCTTTCATTTTTCTCTCTAATAAATATTTTTATATACTAAAATGCTGTTGCATCACGTTTCACATGTTATTAATGTATCACCATCACATAATTTTGGTTTAATTGGGTGCTTTTTGATTCATGAAAGATTGATTTTGTTTCTTATATACAATACAGGTATTGATGAAACTGATATTACAATTTTGGAAGGTCGCACTGTGTATTCTCAAAGCAAAATAAAGACAGCTTCACGCTTTTATATAATGAAGTGCTCCCAGTTGATCAAACGGGAATTTATTCAAGTTCCTATCAAATATTTGGTTGAGAGGTTCATTTTAATTTCTATTTTTTCTTTATTGGCTGATAATAGCCTGACAACTTAAGCGTTCCAAGGGTAAATGACTTAGATGTCTGCCATTCAGGTGGATTCATTTGCTCACCTTCCCAGAATGTCAAATATACTCTTTGTATTTGACACATTCACCTTAGTTGCTTCCAAATCAAGTTATGATATAGTTTATGGATTTTTGAATGGTAACTTGGGTATTAACAACGAATTTTTTTATGGCTATTTCATTTTTCGTGGGTTTCTTTCGATGGCTACTCGTTAGCTATAGGTTACAATTTATCATTAGTCTGTTTTTGTTCTAGTTTATACTAAAAGAGATCATAAAATAATATTTGTGGCAAGCTATCGTATTGCTCTTGAAGTGGTACTCTTGTTCTGAATTTAATACTTGGATATTTGTCCCCATAGAATTTTCAAATGTTGTCTTAAAAGAAATAACTCAGTTTGTTAACAAATTTGCATATTTATGCATGACATTTTATATCCCTTCCTTGGATAGCTTGCAAGGTCCATTGGTCAAGAAGAGTTCTAGCTGTTGGACAGTCACCTCAGTTGTTGAGTACTTCCATGTGCTTCCTTATTCTGAAATAATCTCAGAGTGGATTTCTAGGTTGGTGCAGTTCTCCTTTTCTTTTTAGTAACACCTAATTTTGATTGATTTGGATGTATTTACTAAATTTTACATCCAATATTCCAGATGTGATCCATTTTAGTTTATGCTCATCAAGTTTGCGTTTTGACTTGGTTTCATATGTCAAGCAGCCTAGGATAACTTTTTTATACATTTACTGTGTTCTCAACCACTTTTTGTGACCATGATTATGAACCTAACTATAATACATGAGAATTAGAATGCTGGTTAAACACATCGATTCGAGTTGCACAATTTTGACAACTTGCAGTAATGGATTATGGGCCAATTTCAGAAGCCTCATAACATAATGTTTCTCAAAATTATTGGTAATTAGCATAATGTTTTCTTTGGCACCACTTTCCACTATAAATAAGAACAGCTATTTGTTTCTTGTGTTCTATCTTTGTAGAGAAACCTTCTCAAGTAGTTTGCGAGATTCAAAGTTGACAGAGAAAAATATGATTGTTGGTCACCCTGAAATGACAGAATCATGTACAAGTAGTGAGGGCATGTCTAATGGCCTTGATCTTAAGTCAAGCAGTGATGCTATTGAAGCTCTTAATCAGAACGAGAACAATGGAAGTTGTGGAGTTACATGTTCTGCTTCTATTAAGGAAGCCCAGGATGCATATGTGGACAATTCTTTAGCTTCTCCATCTCAAATGAAAGAAGGATGTCAGCATATTGCCAATACATTACAGGTTCGAAAAGATAAAGCAATTGAGAATCCATCTGTACAACATTACTCAAATCAATCAAAAAACCCTACCCAGGTTTGAAGCTTATCTCGTTACCAACTATTTTCTTTATTACTCACGTTCATCTAACTGCATTTGATGTACTACTGCAATGAATCAATGGTTGAGTAGAAAGTTTTTTCCTTTTGTAGTATTTTCAGTGATGATTTGAATACTCCGAAAAGTTTAGATTTCTCTAACTGGCTATGAATGTGGCTAAAATACTTCTTGTTTGGCTTGGATGATCCTCTTTCCTTAGCATAACTTTTGAAGTTAGGTTAGGCCTAGTTAATTTCTAATATGAGGAGGTTGTTAAAATGTCATACAATGATTAGGAATGTGACCAACATTGTAATGCTTGCACAATCTACTTCTTTGACCTATCTTTGGAGTTGGGTTACGTCCGGTTCATTTCTAATGCAAAGTAGTCAGACCAAAGAAGACACCACTATTCCCTGATTTGTTCTCCTTTTTTCAAAGTTATTTTCAAAGCATTTTTCCCTATTTGGTATCTTTCATCCAGCTAAAACAGATAGCCGCTTTGTTTATATATTTTGCTGAATTCTTATCATAGCTTGGTAGATAATTTGATAAGTCAATTGGTTTGACAGGCTAAGAATGGTGATGCAATAAGGATGCTCATCACTGAGGGTGGAACCAAAAATCAATCTAGTTGTGATAAAGGTTTTTCCAAAACCTCTTTTGGCAATGATTCCATAGAAGAAAGTGCCCTGATTACAAATAATCCCAATTCCAATATTGAAAAGCTTCAAAATCTTATAGCTTCAAAGGGAAAGACATTATCACAGACTGCCAAAGCTTCTTTTGAAAATGATTCGATAGAAAATTGTGCCTTGATTAAAAGAAGCCCGAAATCTCATCTTGAAAAGCTCCAAATTATAGCTTCAAAGGGAATGACATTGTCACAGACTGCCAAATCCTCTTTTCAAAATGATCACATAGAAGAGTGTGCCTTGACTGCAAATAATCCCAACACAGGTCTTGAAAAGCTCCAATTTCTTGTAGCTTCAAAGGGAGAGGCATTGTCACAGACTGCACTAAATGCCCTTAAGCGAAAGAGGAATGCACTGGTAAAAATCTGTTAATTTTTTTTTTTTCCAGTGATGAGAATGTTTTATACACTTTCTGACTCCACCTGTTGATTACTATTCTAGGACACGTAAAACATATACATATGGCTACATATCAGTATCTTGATTCAAAACTGAAACACATTTAATGCTTATTATCACCATTTTTGGATTAATAAAAATGCCTTGCTTTCACAATGAAGACAGTCTGTTGCTCACATGCTTCTATTGGTTCTGTTTATTTAGACCTTTAAAATAGTAATCTGAGTACTTCTACCATGAAATGCACCCACAGGCATAGCTACTACACTAGTTTTCCTTAATTATAGGATTAACTTCTTAATATTCTTTTGACGGTAAAAGACTCTGCAGTTGCATTCATCTTTATCTAAGTTTCTTTATGCAGGCTCTTCAGCAGCGCAAGATAGAGGATGAGCTTGCTTTGTGTGATAAAAAAATTCAGAGAATGTTAACTAGTATGTTTTCCCTTGTCATTTTCTTTTATTTTACTGTCTGGTGCATTCTATCAGTATGGCTCCCCTCCCCCCTAACCTTTACAATGTTTCCCAGTGTTGCACTACATTCTTTTTGATATATTTTCTGGTCCAGTATCAAACAAGTTCTAATTAAAATATGATTCTGATTTAGGATAGTGATTATTGGCTTCTTATGAGCATTTCTTCACATTTCCTTATGTTCACGTTTCCAGGTGTTCGATTTTGTATATTCAACAAGCAGTTTAACTGCAAAAACTAGTTCCACATGATAAATGGAATGTAACCTTGAATTGCAAAACTATTAAGGTTTCTTATGTTGGTTCATCTGACTTAGTGAGAGCATCTTCATCTATCATTATATCCTTGAACTGAATCTAAAGCTATCTTTGAGGCTCTGGGATTCTTAAACTTTCAATCTGAGCATTCTTTTTTAACGACCACCAGCCTTTTTACCTTCGAACCAGATGATAAAAACCTCAGCCTCCAATTATAAGCCTTTCATTTGTGCAATGTGAATTCCTGGTCATATTTCATTTATTTTTGTGGCCTAGAGTCTGGCACAATTTGACTAATATTAACTGATTTATGCGTCTATTATTTAAATTGTCATTGTAAAAGATGAAATAACTATTACTCGTGTTTTGTGTTTTCTTGACAAAGTAGGTGGGGAAGATGAGTTGGAATTAAAGATAGAATCCATCATAGAAGGCTGTAATGATGCATTTGTAAGAAATCAAGGAAGGATATCACAAAATCTTGAGGACCAAAGCTTATCTCGACCCATTCAGCAGAGAAGATTGACAGAAGCAGTGCTCATCATGCAAAGTCCTTGTGAGGCAAGACATTTTAATTACTGGTTTTAATATTACAGTTCTTGTGCCTATGCTGAGTTTGAGCATGGTTGTGGTAAGTGTTTTGTGGCGGTATTAAAATGATTAATTACTACATAAATTTGAGTAAACGGGAAAGTATCTTTTGCCAAATATATGATGCTTACTTAATTTATTCTGTATACACAAGATTCTGTTGATGTTGCTAGTTTCTTGGAAATACTGTAACTGATATCATGGATTGATATAATACTGCTAGAAGAATACAAAAATTTAAAGGAAATATATGGTCAGCATATATATGTTAATTGAAGATTCAAGGGAATATTAAAAAAAATATGTAATATGTGGTGGCATGGATCTTGTTCTGATTTTTGTAACTAATAATAATCAGGTTCTGAAATGAGATATGAGTGTGTTAGTTATATTTGTCATTTTTGTTGTGTTCGATTGTGTGGACTTGAGGGCTGAATTTGTTGAGTTGGGGTGGGAGCTTGATTTTGAAGAAAAAGTTCTCAATAATGTCACTTGAACAATTTTTGACTGATATCATCTTTATACATATACACGTACTTTTTATGTAACAAAATTTGATTTATGCAAATCTCCAAATATATACCAAAATATGAGTAAATCCACTTTCAATGATTTCCAACAGCCTGTCTGCATCTCTCTTGAAAGAAACGAAGTTCAAATAGTACTTAATAATCACTCTTCATCAACCTTGTCTCTTGTACGACATTTTTACTTGGTATCTGCTTTGGGAGAGATGTGTTGTTTTAAATTTTCAACATGACTTGTTAGAAAGTGGTTTTGTCAACTGATACAGTTCTTAAAATTCTGTGTAATCTTGCAGGAACTAGATGGTATATGTCATGAAAATAGCTGGCTTCTACCAATTTATCGTGTTTCTGAATTAGATGGTAAGACTATTATCTATATCTATAATCCTGGACTGCATAAAAATTGTGATTTGTATGAATAGGTGCCTGTTAATTAAACTTAAAGAGATGAGACCAATTGAGTTTTATGTGTTCTATATACATATACTATTTTCAGTTCATCTTGATGGAGTTTAATGACACTAAGTGGTTTATTTGTTTGTGTTCAATTGTTGGATTATCATATAAGTGAGTTGTAAATTTGATGAGTACCTCTTGAAGGTGGATTCCAAGCTGATGTAGCTGTTAAAGGACTAGACTTTGAATGTTCCTGTGGAGGCAATCTCTGTTCCCATCCTCATGAAGCAAGAGAATCAGCTGCTGCTCAGATGTTAGCCCGCTTAAGAAGTAGGGCAAAATCAGGTCAGTGATTTGGCCCTTTTCCAGAAAGCATAGAAATGGCATGCTTTTTTGGTCTGTCATATGTAGGTTCTTGTTTTTTTTTTTTTACCTTTAAGTATCAGTATTAAGGAAACTAGCGATTTGTTTTTGGTGGATTTGAAAAACAAGGGACACCAGTACTTTCGGTCTAACCGGGTGGTTTGTGTAGAATCATTCCAAGTTTATCTTTAGCAACTACTTCTGGTTTGCTGGTATGCTTTATCTTGAATGTTCGACCATGAATAATAATGTGATTTTAGGCTCTTAGATAATATTTTAGTTCAAATATCCTTGCGATACTGGTAACAAAATATTGTTAAAATGTTTAATAATGTCTTTTGTCAAAATATTCTTCGTATTCTTTAATAAAAAATTCTTCTTTTTGCGTATTCAACCTCTTCTCAAGACCTAAACTAAAACTATTAGAAATAAGGGAATAAAAAAAGTAACCAGGACTTTGTCCATTTTGAGCATTCTGTTCAAGAAAATAAGTTGAAGTTTTATACTGCTGGCGTTTTCTATTAAATATATATTTTAGAATTTGATTTCTAAATATTCTATGAAAATTATTTTTTCGATAGAGCTTTTTGTAGAACAAAATTTATATAGATGCAAGTAAGATCCTCCTAAACTGAGAAAGGGCTACATTTAAAATACAGTGGTATTGTGAAGGATTTGTTACCAAAATGTAATTTGACAAGGATTATATATATTTTTAGAATTGAAAATTAAGTAAAAAAATAATTGAAATTACGGCATCAAACCTAAAAACAAAAAAAGTGTAAGAACCAAAATTACGGATAATTAACGAACTGAAATTGTGAAGAAGTTCGGGATTAAAGTCACATCGTAACAGAGAGACTGAAATTTCAATTAAACCTAAATATATTAGTTTAAAATTTCATGAAAATATGTATTATTTGAAAGACTGTTTCTTTCTGCATTTTAGTAGTTTCTTTTTCACTCTCTTAATTAAAATAAATTTTATTTTATTCTTTATTAAAATATATTTACATTATCAAAATTAAATATATTTATATTATTGAAATTTATTTTTGATTGACTATTTTAAAAATATATTATAGATTATGTGTGTTGGAATTGAAAAATACATTCTAAAACTTTCAATCCAAAATATATCTGTGGATTAAATTTTTTAAAAATCATTTTAAATTCAGTATTTTAAAATTCACTTTCAGATTTAAAAATTAGTTTTAGATTGAATGATTCTTATATTCACTCTCAATTCAATTTTTATTTAATATATAAAATATTAATAATTTATTATCTTATGAATTAAAATAATCTTTAAGATAAGGGAAACCACAATAAAAAAAATTATAAAAAATTACACAAACGATAGAGGTGCAGAGAGTAAAAAGAGAAGAAATTTTTAATTTTAAATAAAAATTAATAAAAAATATTTTGATTATTTTATATGAATTATGAGATACTGGAAGGAAAAATTTATGAAGGTAAAAAAGAAGCTTGCTGTGTTCTCACATCGTGGTCTATATGTTTTCTATTTCTTCTCCTCTCCCTTCTCTCTCCCTTCTATGCCATTTTTCTTTCTCCACCGACTCCATCAATATTATTAACCTTGAAAGTATCAATCTTTATATTTTTAATTTTTATAATATTATCTAACATTAATCTTTTAAAATTTTGAAATATCTTATTAATATTTATTTTCATTCAGTTTAAGATTAAAATCTAATTCTTGAAATGTATATTTCGAAAAATAGTTTTCATATATAATTAAACAATTTTAATTTCAAATATCTCAATACACCACCTAAGTATTATTGATTCTTTGAAAGTATATAACTAAAATATTATCTCTACAAATAACTAAACTAGATATACCATTTGATATTGATGTCATACAGTTATATCAAATAGATATAATACATCAAATCTGTTATTATCAACATGTATTCAATTTTTCTTCCATCTCATTTTCTTTCTATTCTATCTCTTCATTCCCCATCACATTTATCACATCTATCAAAACATTTTTTTTTTCTTACTTCAACCCATACACAATATAAATGAAGCGCGCGTGTTCAATGTGAAGTAGATAAAACATATTTGACATTAATGATATATTTATTAAAAAAAAAAAAAACGTATAGTAATAGGCCCAGAAGTAGCTTCATCGGCAATATATGGACAGCCCTGGAGGAATTCATTCTTCACGACTCATGAATCATTTGGAGCTTCTAGCATTTGATCCACACTATAGAGAACGAGAGAAAACGTTTCAGTAAAACAAAACTATCAACAAAACCCTTTATTCACAAAATAAAATAAAAAAATTACGACAAATATTACGATAAGTTATAGACAGAATCATACATTTTGCTGGAAACCAACATCCACCTCTCCCAACAAAAGAAAAAATTTACCCTCCTGCATATTTCACGTATTTCGGGTATGAATTGTAGAAACCATCTAAAGAAACATTTTACCAGCTTTGCAAAGAATGAAAAAAATTGGCATCTATTGCAGGTTAGTGTCATTAGCATCCCGCAGCTTTCAAGAATTTATCATAGGGGCTCAAAGGAGGTAGTCTCAAAGAATTTTGCAGTCCATAGTCATGAGAATAATTGCATGCTTGATCCGATGTTTGAAATGACTGCTGAGTCACCAACTTCAAATCACTCGTTGAATATTCCAGTGCCTACACAATGAGCAGTGCCAATAAATAATACTCGTTTCCAGAAAACATAACTAAACCCTACGCATTGCGACTCTGCATGATTGACATATATCATGTCTCCCAGTGTGTGTGAGCCCCACCTATTGAAATCGTTCTAATGTACTTTGGGAGTAATACATCGGTCCACTAACAAAATCATGACACAAGACATGAATACATAATCATGGATTCAAAACCTGATTGTGATAGAATGGTCCTGCCGACCCAACCATCAAGTATATAAATCAAAGAAGAATATTTGCGATACACCTACGACACTCCTAAAATATGGTTGAGATCTCACGACGACTCCATTAAAGGAGTGTGTTGCTAGTATTAGTCATCAACAAAGATATGTTCATAGAATCTCCAGATATATCATTAAGTAGCTAGTTATAACAGATTGGTCAATAAGTCTCAAAATATATAAAGAGTTCATGAAAATAAATTTGTTTAGGTGATGTTGTCTTGAGTTTATGTGTTCATTTCAATTTAAAAAATAAAATAAAATTAGGTTGACAATTAGTTCAAAAAAGATATTTTTTTCTATTTTCTTCTCCATTAATTCAAAGTTAAATAAAATAAAATAAAAAAGTTATTATTCTTTGTTTTAATATTCATTATTTTTATTTTTATTTCTAATATAAATTCTATTGGATATCTATAGAATAATATACCCTACCTTAAATACTCAACCATGATAGTCAATACTCCAAACATCCAAAACACTGAAACCAATTGAATGCCAAATAGATCCTGATTTTTTGTTTTCAAAATATGTACGTTTCTCACTGAAAGGTTAAACTTCTCTAAAAAATACTAACCTTAGCATGTAGAGAGGAAACTATTACTTCATTTTCACTTGAAAGAATCATGGCGTTACTCTCTTGTTGATGCTTGAAACTTTGAATGACTGACATCTTCTGTTGTTTCCCTGCTACAAGTGCCTCGCACTGATCCTTCATTTGGTCATAAGGTAGAGGAGTTGAGGAAGTGGAGAAACTTGCAACTTGCCTTGCAGTTTCCGAAACCTATCCATAAAATGATGCCCTTAGTATGTTTAAGGAAAGAATAAAATATCCTCCCTCCAGCAGATGCATGAAAAATAGATTCAAAATACAATCATGCACATTCCATTAAGCTAGATTATACAAACAAGAGCCCACAAGGTTTTACCGAATCCAATAGTTGATTAACATTTAGAACATCTTGGTAGTTGGTTGACAGTGATGTTTTGCAATCTGACTGACTTCCACTATGCTCAGGTCCAGTCTCTTCCTCCATCAAATCACCCGGAATCATTATCTGGAAAAACCAATTAAAGCATTTGACTCGCAAGTTTGACAAGCCACCAATGCAGATGCAATTTTGGAGACTTTTACCTCATCAAAACTTGGGAGTTCAATCAGTTGAAGAGGAGAACATGGTCTTGATCTGTCCATAAATAACGGATGTCCTAATGAATATGCATCATCGGGGGAAAAACCCTGTAGAAGTTGATTCTTTATGGTAGACAACTCGTCCTGGTAAGTAAGGGAAACAATTCTAGTTAACTCCGCATATTTATACAACAGTACATGTGCCACAAATCGAGCCAACAACTCACGCTGTCACACATTCTGTTACAACACTGAAACTTCTGCTAAACAGTCTACATTTTTTGCATGCTTCTAAAATAAAAATGTATTTACTTCGATAGTTTCTGGAACAAATGTGTGTTGGTCTCGCTGGATTACACATAAAACAAAACTAAACCAAACGCAACCGTTTAACTTTTATGCTCAATCATTATTAAAGACTTGATCAGGCATTCATTTCTTTATCTCACAAAGTTCCACATCCTTGCTACTCAGAAATTCAATGGTGATCAGCAGAGATTATTTACCACTCTAGTAATTACCATGTTTATGTATCACATAGTAAAATGCATTGAGCACTTATGGGCATAAGGGTCTACGAAGTTGCACTTGATTAGCAAACTAGAAATTAGTCTCAACTAAGTCTTACAAGAGACCACATATGGGTGATGTGCAGAACATATGTAACATATTAAACTCTACTGAATAATAATAAAACATTTACTTTCTCTTAATTCTCCCCCACTAAATTCAACATAGCGAAGCAAATTAAAATACAATCTATCATCAGTGGAGGGGTTTTCCTTATCCTTATTGTATGTGGAGGGGTTTTCTGTCAATACATATTATATAGTATCAAAGTCACATTTCTATAGGAAATCATTAACAGACTATTAATTTGGGCAAAACGTACACCATTAATTCTCCAATCATATCAAATTATTCTTCGTCCACCAAAGCAATTCATATTACCTCAGGCAATTCTGAAAATTTAGTCATAATATACGATATTACAGTTTCTTTCAACTGTTTGTCGTCCAATTCTACAGTTGAAAGAGACTTCACAGCAGAAACCTCATCTTCCTGAGATCCATAAATTATCTTTTCTGAATCTCTACAGACAGCCTGCAGTCGGATATCATCAACCACTTCAAGAAAAGGATCTACCTGTGGATTTATAACTTTAATCAGTAAATCTAAGCATGAGTAAAAAGGGAAAGTATATAGTCACACTCAATTTTAATGGAAGATGAAAGAATGGAAAATGGGGATCAAGTCCAGAAGTTAGGTTAAGAAATTAACTGTTGCCTCTGTCAGTGAAGCTTTAACAATTGGAATTAGATCAGGGACATTGCCAGCCCTGGCAGAGTAGATAAGCATGTATGAACCCAATGTAAAAAGGGACCTCCTACGAGATGGTTGTAAACCTCCTTTAATAAGCATGTAAAAGAATGTCAGAAAAGTTTCACCAGAGAAAATATTATTCTCAATTAAGATGATTTCCTATATATATATATATATATATATATATATATATATATATATATACATAGTAAAACATTTGGAGAACCCTGGAATTGAATTCCATTCTTGCCTCCATTCCATGGGAAGAAGAATTTCTTTGTTTGGTATGAAAAGTGTCATGGAATGATTATCCCACTCCACGCCTTGATTCCACAGGGATGTATTTCTCAATATCATTCCTTCATCCAGAGTAAAAATTTGTCTGTACATAGCACTTACCTTGGTCCAAAGAGATCCTCCTGAGGGAGAATGCTAGTTGAAAACATCTTACTAAACCCATGTGACTCGAAGCCTGTGGAAAACAATTAGAATTCATGAGCAGAAGGCAAATCAATCATGCAATATTTCACAACTTGGAAGTGATTAAGATTAGTTTTAAAAATATATGTAATATGCATTCTTTTTTCTTCATATCTGAAAGATAAAATTTCCTATCAAAATATCAACACTGCCACTAAATTGACAACCAACTTAAACAAGGATCTAGTTAATGAGTATTGAAGTTTGGTTTCACACCTATAATAAATAGACTCTTTCTTTCGTGTTAAGCTTTTCACAGCTCTCAAAAGCTTAACACAAAGAAAGAGTCTATTTACAACAAACATTTTTATCTACTTTTTTTTAAGACACCAGTTAGCATTTGTCTTTATACAATTATAAATGAACAAAATTTAAACAAAATGAGTAAATTAACTTCAGTAGTCTTAACCGATCATAGATCTTTATAAATTATAAGAAATCACAACACCATGTATGCACCGAACTCACCTTAGAATGAGTAAATAATAAAGCAATGTTATAGGTGTGTGCCATGGCCTCATAATTTGCAGGGCCATTTCCCACAGATGTTGCCTGGACCCAGATTGAAGAAAGCAGAAGACTAATTTGATGACTGCTTAGCCTAAGAGAACTTTGATCCTGAAAAGTTCAAATTTGACTTTTAGTTTGGAACTAGAACAGTGAAGGATCCATGATTTCTATTGTTGGGAAAAGGAAAAGGAAACAACCTAAGTAACTCAACCATGTACTTAACCAAACTAGACAAGAACCGTTAAAATTAAATTATGATGAATAGGAACTGCATATTCTTTTTCCTCCCCAACTGAAAACACACTATTAAATGCATACAATTCGTACATTTTTTCCATCAGTTAGCCTGGGAGAAAAACTATAGCCATCATATGGATGAATTGCATATTTCTTCCCACTAACACTAGATATTGTCTTTCCTTCTTCCAGTTTCCCATTCAAGTTTACATCTCCAGAAAAAGTTTCATGCTGAGTGAAGAAGCTGTCATTCTGTGCCTTATGAGCAATTTTTGTTTTGTTGTCTAACCAAGGAGAAAACATAGATGGCATAAGCACCATAGAGAAGACTCTGTGTGCTCCAATTTGTGTTTCACAGTCCGGATGACCCATGGTCAGGAGCAATTGATGAAACAAGGCATCAGGGAAAGCCTGGATAAGTCAAAAAGTAACCTAAAAGTTTAGACGTTTACAGGAGCTGAGCATTTAAAAAAATCATTTGCAATCAAATTATCAACACTTGCCCTATTGTGATATGACACATTTGGGATGGAAGTGATTAATTTTGCTGTTTGATAGACAGCAGAGATTGTTGATCTTGCTGTGATGGTTGTAATTGGGATATTCTCCAGTGCCATAGCCATCAAATCAAGAATTGGTCCTATATCACCAACCTGTTATAGTAGAACAGACAGATAATAAATTGGATCAATAGATATCTAGAATCCAGGAAACTTTACTTAAAAATCACAGCTAAGGCCCCAGTATCATGTCAAGTGTCAGATGATATAAAGTTAGAAAGACAATAAAACGACACAATGTTAGCACAAATACCTTCTTTGAAAGTTGTAATATACACATTTCTAAGGCAGACTGAAGTTCAGTATTCAACCTATATGCACCATCTTCAATGTTGGATGCTTCAGCTAAATTTTGCAGGCATTTCCTTAAATGTTTAATGAGGTCAGATATTGCACCAATGATAGCAACTGAAGCCTGCTGCTTCACATTTTGTGCAAGCTGCGTGGTGATTTTAATAATTTCAATCTGAAGGATAGCCTGCTTAGCCACATTTTTATGATCCAAGTGCTTGACCAAAATGGACAACAGAAGATGGGAGTTATCTCCTAGTGATAATCAATCACATAGAAAATTAGACAAAAACAGCATGCGTAAGAAAAATTATAATATTAAATATTACAAGAGTACCTGATTCTTCTACAAGGGATTGCATATACACCAAAATACAAGAAGCAACTCCATTTTCAGAAGACCAGTGGTTTTCCGCATCAAATATATGAAAAAATGGTTCAAGGACACGCCGCACAGTTGTAGCTTCCTTGGCCAACTTAGCCATATTATTCAAGCAAATCTTTGACCAATAAGCAGGATCTTTAGCAGTATCCCTGTATACAAAAAATGAACCCAATGGTTGTCAGGATCTCATATGTTGTTGGCTTTATACTGAGACGGAGAGGACAAAATACATACAGCTTGGATTCTGTCTCAGTTCCAGTCACACCATTGAGTAAGGAAGCATCCTTCTTATCTGATAAAGAATGTAGACGATCTCCTTCTATGGGAAATCCTTGGACCAATTGGTTCTGAGATTGTGAATTCAATTTCTCTACTTTGGCAAGATTGGATTTGGATTGGAGATCCGTGAAATTTTCCAAAATCACTGATATAATCTATTGCACAAACCACTCACCATCAAATTGAGAAAAAAAAAATGTTTAGGTTCAAATGTAAACCAACCTTTAAATTCAAAATCTGAATTGTGGTTATAACTAAATACATACAAACTAAATTTACATGTTTAAATCAACCCTTTGTTTAATGTCTCTGCCGGAATCAATAGATTGAACGAATAAGAAGAGTAGGGAAATAATACTCACTTTGTCAAAATCCATGGAAAGATGTGAGTGCTCTCCCATGAACTGCACCTGGACAAACATAGGGAGGAAGAACAAAAGGCATCCAGGGAAGGTATAAGTGACCTTGAAAGACAACTAACCACAGGTATTGTTGTAGGAACAATGTAACCAGCAAACAATTTGAACGATCTAAATATATCACTCTAAGAAATTTGTTTCCAGAAAATGAAGCTTCTAGCCTTCTACAGCTTAAATGACTAAAATCAACCGTTTTCAATCTTTACTTTTATATCAATATGAAAGAAATTCAATATCTAATGACTATTAATCAGAAATAACTAAAACTGTCAATAACCATCCTTGTCATACTCTGCACAAGGTTCGCTTCCCCAATAATCATCAAAATCGGCAGATTCTTGCACATATTGATAAAAAAAGAATAGAGAAATCCTTGCAACTCTAAACTTACAGGAACGTATTAGCCAATTCCTCAAAAACAAATGAACCAGAGAAGGAGAATTACCATATAGGATAGCGCTTGCAGCCCAGCTGAACGTAGAAGCAGAACTTGTTCATTATCTCCCACTTCTTGAGCCAATTGACATAGTTTTGGTATAAAACCCTCTAAGTTGAACATGTATGTACCATCCGTCTACTTTAACTCAAAGGGTCAATATCACTAAATTTATGACATTGGAAAAAGAAGTGCAAAAAAAAAAAAAACTTGGTATATAAAATGCAATATATCAAGTAGCATGAACTATAATGCAGACAAATCAAATTTAAATTAGTGAAACTGCTTTAAATGGGTGGAAAATCTCTTGCAAATTGAAGCAATCCTACTGTTATTTTAACACTAACAAGTAAGAAAGTTGATTAACCAAATACCTGGCAATCTATAAATTCCACAAGAGTGTTGCAACCTAAGATCTGCATTTCCCCTGAACGAGTTTGCTCTAGAAGAGTTCGAAGGATCCCTAATAAACTATTGGCAAACAGTGGCCTGCAATATAAAGAAGCATGCTTGAATACTATCATTCAGTGTAGTGAAGAGTAGTATCCAAGAAGGAAAAAAAAAAATCAAATGAAACAGCCCTTGATTGTTAGATGCTTTAGTCACTAGCAAATAGGACTACAGGAGACAAAATGACTTGGTAATACCCTGCTTAAGAATACTAAGAAAAATAAATTAAAGAGTTTTAAACGTAACCATGTTTTACCCATACAGTCAATAGTGTTTACATGAATGAAACCTGGACAAAAAGAACTAATAAATGTCCATAAATTTCAAGATGGCTTCTGCCATTTAATACTCTTATTGTGCCTAATTCTACAAAATTTGAAAGATAGATCCTTTCCCCAGCACCCAAATGAGTTTCAATGAAGTTGGTCAGGATCAAATAATAATTAAGTCCAAGGAACATGCACATATACGGTGGAAAACTTACATCTGCTCCTTACATGTTGATAACAGTTTCCTATATATGCACATGACCACTTTCACTGAACCAAAATTTTCATTACGCAAATCCTTATAACATCTTTGCTCCAAGTTCTCAGTAATCTGCCAATAGAAAAAAACAAATAAATTTAGATTCAGTACTTAAAGTCACTCAATGGTGTTTGTTTAATTTAATAAAGTCCAAATAATATTTTGGGGGAAGAAATGCTGAAAACATTCAGCACATGGGAGATTATAAATACATTCAGTACCAGTTTCTTTGTTAAGTATTAAATAGCAATGACTTCCTTTTGGTTTTTTAGCCTCATTAAAAACATTAAATAACCATGTTTTCACTATAATTAAATATTCAGTATTTTATGAAAAATATTAGTATTACGAATCAGTGCTTCAAATTTTATCAATGGAAATCTCAGTGCTTAATATGAAATTATATAGCTTTAGATACAAGAATCAGTATAGGGATATATTTATTCTATTCATAAAACCAATATTACCAATCCTTATTTATAATAATAATAATCCTAGCTAATTAGGGATACAAACCATGATAAGATAAGGAAATGCGGTAATTTATGCAAACAGAAAAGGAGGAAATAGGGAAATTAGTCTTAGGGGATAATCAGAGAATTTTAAGATATGATATAATATTTTCATACATTCTAACATCAATTTTATTAAACAAGTGATTATTGGATGGGGTACAGCTGGATTTTCAACAATGATATTTTGATAAAATCTAACAGTTTCTGACGAGAATGATTATCTAAATTTCTTCCATCATGTCATATGTTCTTGGTTGCATGAAACAACTAGCCTAGAAGTGACAAAAGAAAGTGGGATTATAAAGAATAATATTACCTTAGGAATTCTCAATGGATTCCTAAAAGCATACTCACATAGCTTTCCAATTTTCCTATCATTAGGCTCGGCAACCTGAAAAACACAGTAATCATCACTTCATGTGAATCGGAATAGAGCTGATTAAGACTCTTAAACATTCTCTGTTTGCTGAAGTCAACAGCCTTAACCAATACAAGGAACAGGTCTTATCACACCGTTGCCCACATTTATCATTATTCGTCTTAACAAAACACTGCAACAGCTAGTAAGAGCAACAGTAATGATACACAAGTAGTATTACTTAGTTTGAAAACTATACAAATAAACCATCCGATGCATACATTAGAAAATAATTACTAAGTCAACTTATAGTTCTTTGGTCCCATGAGACTAATAACTACCAAGCAAAGACTGTGCAACAACATAAGCTGAAAAATTCACCTGATTACGCGGGAATATATCAGCCATCAATTTCTTGTAACGTTTCACCGGTTGCCTTGATCTTGCACGCAGAGAAGGACAGAACACACAGAGGTTACCACAGACGGGAAGAACCCGCCTGGACATAACCCCCATTTTCCAATGAATTCACAGACCCCCCCTGAAACATTTTCCAAAACAAAATTCACTTCCCAAATCACCTTAACCATTCACATTCCAGTGATCAGAACTCGAATTAACAAGCAATATTCACAGGTAGAATCCAATTCAGCTAGATTAAGACCGCACAGGGTTTAACAATCTCCACAATAACAGAAAACAGAGCGCTCGAGAATTCAGAACCAAAACTCATCAACAATTCACCGCAAGGAATGTCAGAAACTTACCGAACCTATTCGAATTGTATAATTCCCACTGCTTCGGAAAATCAAACTCGCCGATCGCGATCTATGCAGAATACAAAATTACGAGAGAATAAGATTTATTACGCTTAGGAGATGAGAAAAAACGATCGAATAATGAAAATCTTTCCATGCACATCAAATTCAATGGAAAACAAAACAATATAAAAATAAAATTAAAAAAAAAAATACCAGGGAAAATGGCAATGCGGTCAGGGTCAGAGTCAGAGGTGCAACTCTTCCCCTGCCATTTGCATTATTATGGCAAGTAACGTTTTAATTCATTCTAACAAAATGCGTATTATAATTGAACCACAACACAATGAACCCATTGTTGCCAATTTTCATCAATATTAGTAATTTCCAAATATTATATAAATATTGAAAAAAATATATTATTTATTAAAAAAATTACACTAAGATAGCATCGCACCGTTAATGGGGTGAGTAATACAAAGTTTACTACAACAACGCTTCATGATCACATGCTATCATTTTTTTTTTCCATGAATGAACGTGTGCTATTGGGCTGTCACGTGGATTGGTCAACGCCTAGTGATTATATAATGTGTTTTTCTTATTTTATTTAAAAAAAAAATAAGTATAAAAATTATCGGTTTGGAGTTGTTGTTAGTGGAAAAGAACGTTCAACTCCATTCCAACGGTCCCGGGAATTATGGGTTGGTGCTTTATTTTATTTTATTATTATTGGAATTTGATTTTTGGAAAGTAAAATTGAAAAAGAAGAAAGGGAAAGTGACTCAATTATTTTGTTTTCTTTTCTTTTTACTTTTATATTCTCACGCCATATCATTTCCTTCATCTTTTTTTTCCAACGCTTTACTTACTTGCACATGTTTCTCAATCAAGCAACATTGTCTAATTTTATAGTAAATTTTTGAGAAAGTAATTTTAAGAAAGTGAAAATTTTGATTTAATTAATTTTTATATGATACAACTATCTATTAAATTTTATAAATAATTGATCTACACTATTCTTTCATTCAATAAAATAATTGGTTTGCATTGGAGGAGTTTTTTTATATATATATTTTGTTATATAATTTACTTGTGAATAAATCAAACACGCAAATGATTTTTTTTATCTATAGTTTTTTTTTTATCGTTTTATGAATATTTAGCATTAAATATTATGTCAAAGTTTTGTTTTTGGCATCTAAGTGCAACTATCAATAAATTGTGTATGACACATTCATGTTCATTAACCAGTAATTTGTCAAACAAAAATATATATTAAATATTTATTCTTTTATTTTGAAACTCTTTTATTTATTTATTTTTTAAAATATTTATTGAAAAAACTTATAGAAAATTAAGTATTAAGGAACAAGAATCAATGGAGACAGATTATAAAAGTTAATGTTCCGTTAAAAATGAGACTATATTGATCTTATGTCAGTTATGATAATATTATTAGAATATTTTCATATATAAAATATTGTTCGTTTTCGAGTTTTTATCTTTCATAATTTTATTTTTAAAATATGTCTCAATTAAAAGAAAAATATATATAAATTATAGTTAATTTTAACTCTTAAAATTGAGTAAGAGTTATAATTATATTAAAATAAAATAAAACTAAATAAAATGACAAAATAGTAATAAAAAATAAATTATATATATATATATATATATATTTTTTAAAATACGTTAAAAAAGAAATAAACATGACAATAGTAATACTAAATAAATATTAGTTAAAGAAAGGCCGATGATTTTTTTTATTATAAAAAAATACATCTTTACACTTTTATCATGTTCTTTAAAAGGATAAAATAATTTATTTAATAATTTTTTAATATTTTAGAGATAAAAAAGAAAGTTACATAAACCTTTTCATCTCCTCAAAATTCTAAATGCTGACTTTCGAGTCAAAGAATCACAAATTGAATTTTTATTTTATTAAAAAACCATATCAGTACACTTTTAATATGATTTTTTAATATATCACTAACATAACTTTTAATAATAAAAAAATATTAGTTTATCTATAACAAAAACTTCAAAAAATAAAATCTATTAATTTTGTTTTATAATTACTCCTATATTTCTATTCCTAAGATCCTTTATATAAGATTTTTTTTTAATTGAATGGTGCATAAATGATTTTAGAATACAAATACTATTTTAAAACCTCATTCAATTATTTGAACTTTAAGAGTAATTATGGAACAATAATATCAATTGTTTGTGAATAAATTTATTTCAATCTTTCTTCTTTTATAAAAATTCTCTCTTGTAATTTTTCATATTTTTTTGTAATTTTAATGATAATTATATATATATATATATGTATATATATATATATATGTATATATATATATATATATTATGAAATTTATGTTAGAATATTTTGGTCATAATTTATTTCGAGCCAAGTTTTCTTGTGACTTATTTTTATAAATAATATTATTTTAAAAAATATTTTCCAAAATAGCATATTTAGAACATTATTTACCCATTTAACATTGTTTACTCTTCATGATACTCTTGCTCAAGTGAGAAATGCATTGCTTGAGCGAGGAGACCTGGAACTTAAAGGGTTTTGTGGGTTTTAGGTTCGCTTAAACTATAAAATTCTCGCTCGAGCGAAAAATTCTCTCGCCCAAGCGAAAAATTCATCGCTTGAGTGAGGATACCTGAAACTAATAGGTAATTTCGGATTTTTTTTGCTTAAACGATGGGTAATTTCGCTCGAGCGAGACCTGATTGAAATATGTGGTGACCCAAGTTACATTATGTGGCTAACTGGGTTGGATCTTTAGTCTTGTTCAAGCGATAGGTAATTTCGCTCGAGCGAGAAGTAATGTTAACTTAACGCCTGTGGTCAATTATCGCTCAAGTGAGGAACTTATCGCTTGAGCAAGGAAATTTATAATCGATTATAATTTAAACTAATCGATCAAAATTTTAAAATAATCGAATATTTAAAATTATGATTGATTATTTCTCTCTCGCTCAAGCGAGAAATTCATCGCTTGAGCGAGGAGATCTGAAACTAATGGGTAATGTCGGGTCAATTCTCGCTCAAGCGATAGGTAATTTCGCTCGAGCAATAAGTGATTGACTAACTGCATTGGACCTTTTGCCTGTGATCAATTCTCGCTCAAACGAGAAATCCATCACTTGAATGAGGAAATTTATAATCGATTATCATTTAAACTAATCGATCATAATTTTAAAATAATCGAATATTTAAAATTATGATCGATTATTTCTCTCTCGCTCAAGCGAGAAATCCATCACTTGAGCAAGGAGACTTGAAACTAATGGGTAATCTCGGGTGTTTTTTTTTTGCTCAAGCGATGGGTAATTTCGCTCGAGCGAGAACTGATTGAAATATGTGGTGATCTAAGTTGTATTATTTGGCCAACTGCGTTGGACCTTTAGTCTGTGGTCAATTCTCGCTCAAGCGATGGGTAATTTCGCTCGAGCGAGAATTGATTGAAATATGTGGTTATCCAAGTTGCATTATGTGGCTCTACGTTGAAGCTTTAGTCTGTGGTTAACTTTCGCTTAAGCGAGAATTTCATCGCTTGAGCGAGGAAACCTGCAACTATTTATAATCAATTATAAGCTAAACTAATCTATTATAATTTTAAAATAATCGATTATTTTGCAACTTTTTTACATAATTAATAATTAATCGATTATAAGCTAAACATCTCTTTTCCCAAAACAACACCTCCCAATATAATATCTAACGCACACAAGTTAGAAATCCAATGCTAAGTCACCCATACAAGTCAAGGTTCTCATGTCTTTCTCATGCACACAAGTCAGGAATCCAATGTTGAGTCACCCACCCAAGTCAGGATTCCAATCTTGGATTCCCTGCATTGGGTTAGACAAAAGCATAAGTCATGTGAGGGAGCCTTGGATTAGACAAAAGCAAAAACACATTTAAAGAGATGTTGACCCACCCACTTTGCTTGAGTTTTGTGTGCGTCAGAAGTCATGTGAGGGCGCCTTGGATTCAAACCATTGGACTTCATTATAAATAGACCACTTTCATTCTTTGAAATTATCACATTGCACACTCCTAAATCTCTGAAGCTCTTAGCATTCTTTCTTCTTCTTACTTTTAATCTTCTTTTTGTTCCATACTCCTAAAATAAGTGTAGTGTCTACTATTGTCCACTATGATGGTTTCATGAACCCATGTCTCATGGAGGGAGTTACCTTCAATACTAGGACTGCAAAACTTGTTCCTTTAAAGAGAGAAATTTCTCTACAGAGGTTAAAGAAATTGATCCACAGAAAATTAGAGAAAGATCCCCACGAAAATATAGAAACCATCCATTTTTGTTGCCCAACTAGACTCGGAGTTGGGATCAACAACTTCATTGCTATTGAGTTGAAAGATGATAACGACGTGGATGTCATGTTCGATGTTCATGATTCAAACTCAAGTCTATGTAGTATTGAAATTTTTGTTACATTTAAAACTTCTTCTTCTTCATACCCCAACACACACTCACCTGAAATCTCACCCTCACCCTACCAAGCTTTCTCAAACACTGATCCAGTAATACCCACACATAATGACTACATCTCTTTTACCTAACTTCTAAGTGGGTCTTCCATCAACATCAACGAAGAACTACCCACACAAGAGAACGAAATTGTTAGCCTCCCAATTGAAGTCATTGATCCTTTTAGTGAGGACGAAGACGAAGATGAAATTCTCAACCAACACCAAGATGATTCAGAGGACGAACAACTACATATCCCTACACATGCACTAAACTTCATGGAACCATACAACCCACCACAACATTTTCTTAACTTTGAAATTCACATTCAACAACAAGATCCAGAGTATGGTCATGTGTTGGACAGATAGTCTTTTGTTTCTCTGGCAGGAACTCTATTTCTTGGACAACGTTTCATAACAAAAGAACAAGTTCAAGATGTCATCAACCGCTTTCACATTGTCAATCATTGCACATACAAAGTGAAAATTTCAAACCAAAGTAGATATGCTGTTGAATGTGTTGATAACCAATACAATTGGAGATGTCGAGCAATATTGCGCACAAGAGAGCAATATTGGGAGATTATGAAGCTTAAAGGGCACCATACATGCGTTTCGCCATTAATCAGCCAAGACCACAACAAGTTGGGATATAAAATGATTTCCCAAACAATTGGCCAAATAATTGATGTTGATTCGTCAACACCAATCTCCACAATCATAACCCACATCCAATTAACAACAGGTTACACTATAACGTACAGAAAGGCCTGGTTGGCCAAACAAAAGGCAGTGGAGACCATCTACGACAATTGGGAGGATTCGTATAAGAAGTTGACTTATTTGTTACAAACCATGCAACAATTTGTTCCCAGATTCATCTACAAACTGTAGTCATAACCAGCTTACCAAGGTGAGATCCTTCAACAAAATTCAAATATTTTTAAGCGTGTGTTTTGGACGTTTAGGCCATGCATAGATGAATTTGTTCACTGCAAGTTCATTGTTCAAGTGGACGAAACTTTTTTCTACGAAAAATATAGAGGTACCTTGTTGGTTGCAGTAGCACAAGATGGCCGCAACAACATCCTCCCCATTGCGTTTGCAGTGGTTGAAGGTGAAATAAGTGATGCTTGGTTTTTTTTTTCTTAGAAAACCTCCAAAGATATGTCACCCCAACAAGGATTATGTCTCATATCAGACTGACATGAATCCATTAGAAGTGCATACATGAGAAATGGAAGCGAATGGACAAAAAATAATTCAGTGCATGTCTACTGCATTAGACACATTGCACATAATTTTATGAGATGTTTTAAAAACACTGCACTAAGGAAAGATGTTGTAAATATGAGTAATTTCTTTGCTTCAAATTTGTTACAATTTATTCATTATTTAACTGTTGCTAATAAATATTTATATTAACTATGTTTTTTTAATATTGTTATAGCATATGGGATGACTGAACTACGATTATACTATTATTACAACATCTTGAGGTAATGTGATATAAAAACAGCTAATTGGTTGGATGAGATACCTAAAGAAAAATGGGCACTTGCATGGGACAATGGACGGCGTTGGGGCAACATGACGAACAACATAGCAGAGTCTATCAACTTTGTTTTGAAAAAAAAAACAAGAAATCTACCTATTTGCTCCATAGTTAACGCAACGTATACCCGCTGCAACAAATTTTTCATTGAAAGAGGGAGACAGATAGATGTTATGATCAATATTGGTCATGTATACTTTGAAATTTTGGTCATAAATTTAGAGGAAGTACAAACACGGGCAAACACGCATAAGGTCATAATGTTTGACAGATCTACCACAAAATTTGTAGTAGAAGAAACACAAAACCCGCGTGAAGTTCGACTAGCAGGGAAGTTTGCAGTTCGCCTTGATAAGTTGTGGTGTGACTGTGAGAAATTCCAAAAATTTCACATACCTTGTTCACATGTTCTTACTGCATGCAAGCATGCACACCATGACTTCAACAACTATATTCATCCAGTGTATACCTTACAACAAGTTTCAAAGATATACGAAACACAATTTGGGTTGTTGCGAAATGAATAATATTGGACAACATACATAGGACCTACTTTGTGTGCAGATCCAGAAATGAAAAGAACTTCAAAGGGCTGACCAAAATCAAGTCGTATAAGAACTGAGATGGATATTACAGAAAATCAAAATAGGATTAAAAAATGTTCATATTGTCATACCCCAGGTCATAACAGAAGAACATGCCTCAATGTTGCATGTGCATCTATTTTGCATCATTAGATTGTGTTAGTTAAGAAATGCCCCAAATATATGAAACTTATGAGTTTTTCAATTAATAAAATTTCTTCTTTGCAGAGTGGGGATTACCTACAATGTAGTAATTCATGGACTCATCTGTTCTTACAATAAGGATAACTATATTGACAACAAATCATAATAGGAATACTAGTTTGTTGCATGAATTGTTAATATCCTTCACTTTAGTCCTTTTGCTGTTCAATCTTGTTCATGACTGAATCGAAGATATGCTGACAAGGTTGCAATTTATAGTCCAGGGAGTGTATAACTTAAAATTATCAAGGACAAATTTTTGAATACGAAAATAATTAGATAAGCTTTTGCAGGTTTTATGAAACAATTATTGCAAAAGGCTTAAGTTGACTAGTGAAGATATAAGATTCCATTATTTTAAAATTATAATCGGTTAGTTTAGCTTATAATTGATTATAAATAGTTGTAGGTTTCCTCGCTCAAGCGACGGATTTCTCGTTTGCGCAAGAGTTAATCACAAGCTAAAACTCTAACGCAGTTAGCCACATAATGTAACTTGGGTCACCACATATTTCAATCAGCCTATTGCTCGAGCGAAATTACCCATCGCTTGAGCGAAAAACACCCGAGATTACCCATTAGTTTCAGATCTCCTCGCTCAAACAATGAATTTCTCGATTGAGCGAAAGAGAAATAATCGATCATAATTTTAAATATTCGATTATTTTAAAATTATGATCGATTAGTTTAAATTATAATCGATTATAAATTTTCTCGCTCAAGCGATGAGTTCCTCGCTTGAGCGAGAATTGACCACAGGTGTTAAGTTAGCCAATCACTTCTCGCTCGAGCGAAATTACCCATCGTTTGAGCGAGAATTGACCACAGGCTAAAGGTCCAACGCAATTAGCCACATAATGTAACTTGGGTCATCACATATTTTAATTCGTTCTCGCTCAAGCGAAATTAGCCATCGCTTGAGCGAAAAAACATCCGAGATTATCCATTAGTTTCAAGTCTCCTTGCTCAAGCGAAGGGTTTCTCGTTTGAGCAAGAATTTTATCGCTTGAGCGAACCTAAACTCTACAAAACTCTTAAGCTTCAGGTCTCCTCGCTCAAACGATACATTTCTCACTTGAGCGAGAGTACCGTGAACAGTAAACAGTACTAGTGTTTCTGGTGAAAAATTTTGGTTGTTTCGATTTCTTAAAGACTTAAGTTCTAACCAAATTTCAACCACGTAAATTCTTTTTATTTAGGTTAGCAAACAGTTTTTCAATAAAAAAATGTATGTAAATCGAAAGTATCAAAATATCGAGCCAAATCGATGAAACAAAGTGTGAATATTAGAAACACGGAAAACGTAACAAAATATACATACTGAAATCAAAAGTTCCTTTTTTTTGTATTTCTTTATTAAAAGACTCGAGAATATGAAAATTAGCAGAAGTAAAGAAAGCAATAAAAAGAGGTCGAGGCAACAAGGTAATGCATAAAATTAAATTGCACTAAGAGTAATCAAAATCACTGGAAAGTACAGGAAAGCAAATTAAATGTACAAGTAGATAAATTACCGGAAAAGTAAAGAAAATTTTTAAAGATATCGAGACAAAGATGTTGTGCAGAACCTTAAATTTGCATAATTGTAAATGACAAGGAATTGAAATAACATGAAAGTAAAGACATGTAAATTTAAATTGCATGAAAGATAAAGTACCAGGGAAAATACAGAAAGCGGTAACAAAAGTCAATGAAAATGAAAATCCAGATCGTTAGAAACTTCATGATTCGTCGTTCTCCGGTAGACTTGTACAATTGATTTCTGTTCTCTCTACCAATTTCCACTCTTTCTTCATGCTTCATTCTATTTATAGACTTTTTTCAACGTAACTTCCTAAGAGCAGTTTAAAAACCGCTACCATGTTCCCATGCACGAACGAGATAACTACTCCCTCAATCTTCGACCTCAACCATGGTTTAGAAACCGCTACCTATGTTCTATGTGCGCGCTAACTGTTCCCTCGATCTCTACCTAAGCCACAGTTTAAAAACCGCTACCCATGTTCTATGTGCACGCTAACTGTTCTCTCGATATCTACCTTAGCCACGGTTTAAAAACCGTTATCCATGTGTTCCATGTGCATGATAATCGTTCCCCTCGATCTCGATTCTAGACATCGAGTACTTTGAACTGCTTCTGATTTCCCTCAAACTTATTTTTACACTCAATACTTATTATCGATTTCTTACTTTCATCGAATTTTCTCTATCTTCTTTCTATTCCGATTCTCGATTTTCCCTAACATATGGTCATCGAATTTCTCCTACTCATTTTCGATTCAGATTCTCAATTTTTCTCCAACATACTGTCATCGGATTTCTTTTTTCAATTTTCGATTTTTTCCAACATACTGTCATCGAATTTTCTTCTTTCGATTCTCCATTTTTTCCACCAACAATTCCATATGTGTTATTTTGGAAAATATTTTTTAAAATAGTATTATTTAAGGAAAAAAAAAGTCTTCATTGAAAATATCTATAAAAGAAAGCCAGTAGTAACACATATTTATATTAATTTGAAATTTATTCAAAAATTCAATTAAAAAAGAAAAATCTGTGAACATGCCGTTTTCCTGAATGAAGCATAATGAATTAATAGAGAATATTCTACTACTAAGCGTATCAATTCAAGAATCACTTATTCATCAATCAACGTTGATACAAGCAAAGAACAACACCCAATAATAATTAGAATAGTAGTTCAGAATCAAAATTTTATTGAAGAATTGGCTAAAAAATGAAAAAACCCTCAAAATCAGAACTCACGATTTGGGGTAAATTAATCACTGAATGCCGGAAACGTGGACGCCGGCGTTTTTTATGGAATGGAACAAGGGAGAGACCATGACGCGGTAGTGTTGTGGACGGGATTGTTCCTCGCGAGGATCGATGTGCACGGCGGTGACGCCGATTTCTCTGAGGCGGAACCCTAGTTTCTCCCCCACGCGAGAGGCCACTTTACTGTCCCAGAAGCGCTGGGATCTGGGGAACCGGTTGAGCTGGGCACGGTAGTGAGCCATGAATTCTTGCTCGGATGAGGAAGCCATAGCTATGATGGAGGAGGTGGTGGTGTTGGTGACCTGGGCGGTGATTTTCCGGCATGACAGCACCAGCTGCAGCAAGTGGTGGTTATGATAGGTACCCGCCATCTCTCTCTGGCACGGGAAGACAACGTTTATTACATGCACTTTAACAAAGGACAATGTGCAGAATGTATCAATTACCTTGTACATGTTTATTTATTTTTTATTTCACTTGTATTTTATATTTCTATGTTTTCGATTTTTTATTTTTCTAAATTGAAATAATCAACCTTTCCTCTTTCTTATCACATAAACTACTGACTTTTATTCACCTAATATTTTTCTAAATTTTATTAAGCATGTAACATTGATGCACAATTTATCAATTAAAACACTATAATTATCAAATTTTATTTATAATTTTAAATTATTATTTTATACTTATGTAATTACATCTATTATTCACATTCATATTTATATCTATATTTATTATGCAACATGTATTAATTATTGCAATTCTATTTTATTATATAGTATTATAAATAATAATAGTTATAAGTAAAAAATTATGGAGCATTTATATATTTGCGTGTTTATTTTTCAATTTTAAAATTTATAAATAAATAACACCTGAGTGAGAGTGCATTGCATCACTCTATGCCATGGTGTCACTGTTCTCTGGTCAAGCGTCCGTACATCAATGGTGGTGAGTGAGTGTATGAGACTTATCGGATTCGCAGAAACCCTTCTTACGCCTTCGTATTCCGATAATCCCAAAACTGATAAGCCGACCCGACCCAAATTTGCCTCTCTAGGTTGCTCGACCTAATCGGAGGTGGGGCGAGTAAGGCTTCTCTAACTTTTTCTTCCTCATGCCATTTTTTCTGCTCCGAAATTTTATTCATGAAGAAGACCAATGTTTCTGTTTTCAAGGACTCCTGCTGTGAATTTTTCGTCTACGTTGAAACATTCATTAGGAAATACTGGTTTTTGTGAGCGGTTAATTTGACTAACAGTTCAGAATTTAGACGGAGCATTCATGGGTGAAACGGAAACTGTAATGCAATCTTAACAACTTGCATGTTTGTCTTGTAGGTTTTACAAGAATATGTTGAAATCTGGCTGATTTCCTCTCCTGTTGTTTGTGCTGGACAGGTAATAAACTGTTGTCTTCATCTTCTCGTATTTTTTTAAAAATCTATGTTTATTCTTAATTCATGAAAATTGGTATGTTTTTGTTTGTTTATCTGGACAAAATAGTAATAATAATTAAATTCATCAATGTACTGTGTTAATATACACTTATCCTGTGTCCAATTGTTTTTTAGTGGAGTAGGTTTTTAGAGCTATCTTACTTGCATGGTGAAAGAAAAGTCACGCATAATGCTCATCTAGATTGTGATCTTTGTTAGTGAAAAATGTATCTCTCTATTTGCATATAAGCTCTAATTAAGGGTGCTGATATCTTTTATTCATCCAAGAATTTTTAATGAATAAGATAGACAGTATCCACATACAGTCTATATTTTGGTGTTGGCAGCCAAACATTGTAGACTTGAAGCTTGGAATTTCAGAGAACTTAAGTTCTCTGCCCATAACTAACTATTTGATTCTACTGGAATTCCTCTCTCCCACTCCTCATTTCACGTATAATAGACCATGACATTCCTGCCACATCAGCGTTCACATGCTGGACCCTGCCACATCAGTGCTCAATTCAATGATGTTATTTTGATAGGTTAATGTTACAACTCTCCCACAGACCCTCCTAGATCTTTTAGATAATGTTTGACCCAACTTCTTTCAGCCTTCTCTTCTTTCTAATAGGAAAGTTAGGTTGAACACAATTTAAGAATATTTCTAAAAACTGAACGTAGCTTTTCTTAATGATGGGAAAGTTGAAATCGGAAAGTAGAGTTTTCACAGAAGCTATAATTGAAGGAGCATCTTCTTTTAAGGAGAAAAGAAGACAAAAAGAAATAAGGCCAAATACTACCTTAACTTGTTTCGATAAGATAAAAAGTGCCTATAGGAGGATTGATGGTTACTTTCACAAGCTTTGTCAAACTCCTTCGATTTTCAGCATAAACACTCATGAGATAAGAAATGCTTCATAGAAACACATTCAAATTCTCCTTTGGTTTTGTTGTTTTCTTTTCTGGTTGAACATTATTATCAATATTTATTGTTAAATAATCAAATAGGTATTTTTTTGTCAAACCTTCAAGATAAGTAGTAGACTCTTATGAGTTCACCATTCTATCTATGTTGGAATAACTCAAGTAAACATGCAGAACTATTAAAATATTGTGTGAACTCTCAAGTCACGAAGCAAGTTAGTGACTTTGAAATCAAATGTAACTTTTGCCCCTCACTGAACCCACAGTGACTGTTTTATGCTGCTCATGCACTGCTTTTGAAGGCAACATGGATGTAAAATTTTACTAGGGCTCAAATGATTCAAAAAAATAACGCTTTTTGAAATGTTTTCGCTTTAAGAACTATTGTTTTTATGAATTTATATATGATTTGGTCTTGTGTATATTTTGATCCTATTTAGCACTGATGTGCTATCTCAATTATTTTAGTTTGCTACGTTGTTTTTTATGGAATTGAAATGTTAAATGATTTTTTATTCAAGAGTATTAAGTTCTGTATATCTCATTAGTAGTTTTTTTAATATATTTTTTATATTATGTAAACTCACATAGGGTGATAATGTAATTTGTTGTGTAATTCTGCCATAGTAGGGATATGGATCACGAATCTGGACAGGGATTTGATTCAAATGATAGTGACCTTGATATGCAAGCGGAAATTAGTGAGAAACATGAGAAAATAGATGAATTTTCAAAAAACCTTGACTTATGTGGAAGTGAAGATGAGAAGTTTATCGAACAACCTGCAGCAAACATTTCAACAGATATAGAAGCTGTTGAACCATTCAGAGGCATGGAGTTCAATTCAAGAGAGGAAGCAAGAGAATTCTACATTGTCTATGGTAGGCGGATAGGGTTTACAGTGCGAATACACCATAACCGTCGTTCTCGAGTAAATAACCAGGTTATTGGTCAAGATTTTGTCTGCTCAAAAGAAGGCTTTCGTTCCAAAAAGTATGTACACAGAAAAGATAGAGTGCTGCCTCCTCCACCAGCCACTCGTGAAGGTTGTCAGGCCATGATAAGGCTGGCTTTACGGGATGGAGGGAAGTGGGTTGTCACCAAATTTGTAAAGGAGCATACTCATAGGCTAATGAGTCCCAGTAAAGTTCCATGGCGAGGATCTGGGAAGCACTTGGTTAGCGAGGTATGTCTTTCCATGACAATGTCAAATGTGACTAGGTCGTTCTTAAGAACTGATATGATCTATGGTGGAATACACAGTTCCCAAATTCTTTTTCCTTTGTTGTTATCCTGTTGTCGGGATGAAATGAAAAGAGGCCAGTCAAACAGTGCATTTCTAATTAACAATTTAACTATATGTGATTGAACTGGACTGTACCATGCAAATAGACAGCTGATAAGATCTCCACTCCTTCTAATGATGTGGGATTGAGATCAGTATTGGAGGGATTCAAATAGACAGAACAAGATGATCTTGTCTAGCAAAATGCAAGTAAATCCTTATATTCGTGTTGACATTGAGTGTCAATTACTTAAATCCCTGAATTTGCAAAACATTATCACTTTGGTCTTTTATGTCTCGGTCCCAACCATTTACTCAGATTTTCCTGCCTTCTCACCGGGGCTTCTGATTTTATCTATATCCTACACTGCTCCAACCAAAAGCATCCAGTTAGCATTCCTTTCATGTAGGCTGTTAGTTATTTAAAGGCAGTGTTTCCCATGTTGCCTAGGATTTTGGATCCACTGGTTCCCCTTAATACCTTCCTAATATATTCCAAAGACCATAACGGAGTTCTGTCAATATTACATCAGGAAGATATGGTAATTAGTAAATGAGATACGGCAGCAACTTTTAACAAATTATGTTGGTTGAAATTTATTAAAAATCACAACTTTTTTAGGACCCACTTATTATTTTTATCCAAAAGTAAACGAGTCCCTCTCATAATTTTGTAGTTTTTATAAATTTTAACCCGTAATTCAGTTTATTGTTACACTTCTCTTAGTAAATTGTTACCTGAAATTGACCTGCATTGAGATTTTACATAAAAGGCTAAGTCCCCTCCCTCCAAGCACCCAAGAAAGAGAAAAAGAAATGAAGAAAATAGCTGTTAATCTGGTTGATTAAACTTTTACATAAAATTGAAAGCACATTTCAAGCAGCTTGGATAAGTTTTTTTATGATATCATTATTCGTGTTGCAGGATGAGAAGGATAAGAGAATCCGTGAGCTATCACTTGAGTTGCACAATGAAAGGCAAAAGTGTAAACGACGTTGTGCTGCATATGAAGAGCGGTTAAATATGATTCTGAATGATTTAGAAAAGCACACAGAACATATTTCTGAAAAAGTTGCAGCTGTGGTACGAAGTATAAAAGAGATTGAGGAGGAAAAGTCAGATTCAGATGGTGGGTAATTAGTGCCATTATAGCATGTTTCCTCAATTCATGACATCCTGGTTTAGATTTTTAAGTCTTCAAGGTATTGAAGGCCAACATTATTCTGTCGGCATTTAGATGCGATTTTGCTTGAAGTAGTGTGCTGTAGCCTGTAACTTTCAACTTAAACTTCGGGCAGCTTAGAGTTTACCAGGAAATTCCTTTTCTGTTGTTTAGTCGCGGCTTAATATATGTTGGTGCTTAAAGTGTAATTCATAATGATCTATTATTCTTGCCCAAAAGCGGTGAGTATAAGTTAGACATTTGATTCTTCCATTGGACTCAACTTTTTCGATCCACAGTGATCATTTAACCTTTTCCAAGTTGGTAGGATCGTGATTTACTACAACTATAGACTCTACTTGCGTCTGCTTGTATTATGCTTACGTATTTAATGATTACCAATATGGTGGGAATAATAAGGTCAAATTTATCTCTATGGTTTAGCTCTACTTGTTCTTTCCTTTCATATTATTAATCACCAAGTTATCAAGATCATTCTTTTTTATTCGATTGAAGTTCACGTGCGACCATACTGCCAAATATATGCAGCTTGAAGCAAGGTATTATGCGTATGCAGACGTTGCCAACTACCAAACATGCCAAATAATAATAATTAATCTGTTAAAGTCATGTCATGTCACCTTATTTTCTGTGAATTTCTCGCAAATCCACTCTATATTTGATGATAAAGAAAAGGAGATCAAATTCAACAGGGTCACCGAACTCAGTTTTACGGAGTGCAAAATAGAATCAATCTTTCTCGCCTCAAAACATTAACAACAAACACATACAAAGGCAAGGTTCTTGATTCCAATGCCCTTCCTCCCCTTCCCATCAAAATCAATAAAAATTTAACTTCTGCCATTACCATGGCTGCTCATCTCATTGATGTTTACCAAACCAGGTGCTAACCCACCAAAACGTCCACTGGAAAAAAAAAACACACACACATACACACATACCAAAAAAGAACAAAAAAAATCCTAGTCTGCGCCTCTTTCAAAACCAAAAAAACATGACATGCATGGTAAGTACGAGGCACATACGCAGATTACATACCTAGGAGAAGATGAATTTAGATGGAATTAGTCTAAATCTTATACTCACATGTTGATGTTCTCGGACTAATCTTCACGAGAAACACGTATAACAACTGAATAACCTGGCATATATGAAGATTAATCCTAAATAATGTAATAATTTCTCCCCAGATTTATTTACAACATGGGAATTGAACCAAACTGATTCTAGAAGGTATTTGTAAAGTGGTTGAGAATGGAATAATCTCGCTTCGAACTTGGAAACCACAATGATTAGCTTCCGAAAACCGCATCCGAAACAAGAAAGCAAACAGCACCCAGATGGAGAAATCAAGTGAGAGCACTGAAGCCACCCCCTTTCATCATTTGCTTGAACTCTTTGTAATCGACCATCCCATCTCCATCAACGTCAACCTTCATGATCATCTTCTTGCAATCCTCGACCGTTCTTCCCTGCTTCAACCCTAGCGAGTTTAAGACGGTCCTCAACTCTTCCACCGTGATGAAGCCATCACCGTTCTGGTCGAAGACGTTGAAGGCCTCTCGCATGTCGTCTTCCTGATCACGCTCGTCCATGATGTTCTGGTAGAGCTCCCCGAACTCGTCGATGTCCACACACCCATCTCCGTTTACGTCTATTCTCTCGATCATGAGGCTGAGATCCTTGTCGGGGATCAAAATGCCCAGATTCTCCAACGAGTCGCTCAGCTCTTTCTTCGTGATTCGACCGTCTCCATTGCGGTCGAACATCTGAAACACGCGCTTCAGCTCGTTTGGGTCCATTGAAAGTGATATTCTTGTGATGGCCTTTGAAGAAGAAGAATTTAGTGGTGGTGGTGTGGTGGTGGCGGTGAATTGGAACCAAGAAGGGGAAAGGGGGAGGAAGGCTCGCACCTTCTTAGGGACCAGACACAGGAGAAATTGGTGTAGGAGGTTGTAAAGAAGAAAAAACCTCAGCAAAATACTTGGCATGGTAAGCGGAGTTTGTGGTGCTTGCTTGTTGGGTGAAGAGAGATTTTTGGGTTCTAAATAAAGAGTTGTCAGGTCAGATCTATACATATACATATACATATAAATATAAAGGACAACCTAATTCCAACTCCATGGCAGAAGGGAAGGGTGAGGGAGAGCTTTAAGTGCCATGCAAAAGCTCTCTGTCCTTTCACACACTTTAACTTTCACGCGTTTCTCATTCATCCACGTTTTCTGCACTTTTATTCTTTATGCATTGATCTTTCTTCCAATACTGCTACTTTTGTATGACATAGTATTTTTTATTTTTTTTTTTATCTTGTTTTAAGAAATGATATGCAAGAAAGGACATGATGTAGTTGATTTGAATAAAAGAAGAATTATGAATGAGGTTGGTTGGGACTTGGTTGATGAAAGACGCGTTGAAATTAAAGAATTTGGTTTGGAATGGGGATGGATGTCACTTCAATACAGGGATGACGTTTAAACCAATAAGTAAGGCACCGATCCGTCTCGTCTAAGTTTCTCGAGACAAAAAAAAAAATGAGTAGATCGGCCGTGGGTGACTCTGAGGTTTTGCGGGTTTAAAAAGTTAGGGACACCGATAATTAATGCAATTCTCAACGTATCTTTCTTACCGTTGATATTTAATTTTATATTTATATTTATATTTATATTTATATTTTAAAATATTATTATTTTAATTTTATATTATATATAAATTTATTTTTCTATATTATAATATTTTCTATTTTTTATATTAATTAATTTATTATATTATTTTTTTATTTTTCAGTATTTCATATTTTTTAATTCTTGTAGTTATTTTGTTTCTTTAATTTTTTTTATTAATTTAATAAACACAAATTTTTAAATATTTTATATAAATTTAATAATAAATAATATTATTTTATTTATAATTTATATTTATTATATTTTATTATATTATATTTTTAAATTTTATTATTTTTATTTGTTATATATTAAATTTTATTTTAATAAAATAATTATATTTCAAATAATTAAAATAAATTAATAATTTAAATTTTTATTATTTTAAACTAATTAAATAAAAATTAATTTATTAAATATTTTTTTATAAATTATATATTTTATATTTTCAAATAATAACTTAAAAAATTAACTTATATATGTAAATACAATATTATAATAATAATATTATAAATATTTTATAAGTATATAAAAAATATTAATATTTTTTGTATATATATTTTAATATAAATATAATAAATTAAAATATATATTTAATTAATAATAATTATAAAATTATAATTTATTTATGTATACAAAACAGGATCGGGAGACATCCGTCCCACCCGTCTCATTCAGTTAACATGTCTATTTCAATATTGTTGACTTATCATAATGACGTTATTAATAATCATACATACTAAATTAATATTATAAATAATAATAATTGGCATCTATAACATGTTGGTAGACCTTTTCTTGGATTGGATTAGGTAGTTGACCCAAAATTTTTATTTTGAATGACCCAATATATGTCATGTTTTGTAAAATTTCCATAATCAATGGTTTCGGAATCATAATCCATCTTTTAATGAAGATCTAAAATTTCGATTTTTTATTTTTTATTTTCTTTTTCCAAACAGGAAATATATTTTTGAAAATCCTTTTTCTGTTGAAAAGAGAGTTTTTCAATTTTTGTTCCATTTTTTTGGCAAAAGCCAAATGTTGTTCGAGTTTAATGAAATCATAAATTGATATATTCTCTTATTTTGTTGGTTTTTCAAAAATGAAATTCCCAACTTCCGGATAATCAAGCATACTGTTGTCACCTCCAACATAACTGACCATAACTTGTACAGCTTCTTCAAGATTACCAAATCTTTGAAATTTACTGTGTTTGTCATTACCTATCGCCTTCAAAAGAGAGGAATATGATAGGTAGACGTCACGCTTGTCACCAATAAAAAGGCAATAAGCCTCTTTCTTGAGTTTTTTAAAAGAAGCGGACAATATTTTTGAAAAGTAATAATTTAATGCATTGATAACATTAAATTTTTTGTTGGACTATAAGCTCGATGAAGAGCATCAAGTAGTACCTTTTGTTCCCTTGAAATTAGACAGTTCCTCAGACATTTTAATTGTTGAGGATGACCTTCTGGTAAAACTGGAAGATGTTGTGTTCCAAACTTTAGAGTATCAAACTCTTCAGTTGTTGAGACTGGTAACTTGTCTTTGTTGATAGGGCTTGTCATATCTGTACTTGTATAACTGATAGAATTTTGCAATACCCTTTTGTTAGTTTCTTTCTCACAGAAGAAAATTGTTGTATTCATTATACAATACCCAAAATCGTCTAATATATTTCCTAATTTATTATATATATTATCTAGTTGAAAATTATTTTCTTGTGAATAAAGGTATAAGAATTCATTATTTGTAAAATCATTTATTAGCCCATAATCTTTATGGTTTTTTTCTAAATTAATTTCATCGAGTGTATTCTCGTAATACTAATCACCGATAGTATTTCATAATCAGTAGAAACATCTTCATCAATCGGAAGAAGGTTCATGTGACAAGATTTTATCAGTTATGCCTCATTTGTGTAAAGATTTTCAATGTTAGGACAATCTCTAGAGAAATGTCCTGGTTGATTACAAGCGAAACATCTCAAAGTTTGCTTGTATGTTTTGTTTTCTCTAAATTTCCTAACGTGTCTGTCAGGATTTAAAATTGGTTATTATACCTAGGTTTACTTCTAGGTACATTTCTTCTATAAGGTTTGTTTTGATTATACTGCTGAGGAGTATAAATTTGTTTGCAAATTCCAGCATCATAATTTTTTAATTGTTTTTGTATAGCAATATGTGTACATTTATCTTCCATCACTTTCATGATGTGTTGTATACGTATGGAAAGGTTGTTCAACATGGGAGTAACCTCTTTATTTTTTCAAGATTCTCGCATCTTTTGGCATAGTTTTCCTTGTAACTTGAGAAACATCTTTTTTCCAATGCTTAAATCATGGAAACATCTAGCTATGGATGCGTACATGAGATTATCTTGTAAAAATTCTTTTATCTTTCCAAAATATGTTATGGAAAGTCTTTCTAGGTAACCTAGATAGATTTTTTGTCTGAGTGTATTCCCATCATTGAAGTAAGCAATTTTTGTACAAGAGAACAAAAATTGTATATGTTAGGACCTGGTTCGATCACAAACAGGTTTAAATCAGCTGAGTAATTTTTCTTAAAAGATTCTCAGCATGCTCTAGCTATATCACCTAAATAGGTTTCAACTTTAGCAATCATTTCTTGAGAAGAGTGAACATCTTTCTCATGATGTATGTCATAATCACGGATTACGGCTACATAGACAGTTATACAATATCGTTTGGTTAAGTTCATAAAGGACTAGCCTTTACCGATATAGAAGAATAGAAGATTTTCATTTTCCAGACAACACTTATGAGATAATTCCTTTGATATCTCAACAAACTGGTAGACAACTACTAGGCCAACAAGGAAGATATGTCTATATGAGATTGATTACCAATGGAGTTAGATCCCTGGCTAGGCATATGATCGGAGGTAGAGCTTTGATAATTCTACATGACTCCAGATTTCAAAACAATGATTCAAAAAGTGTGATAAGTATTTTTTTGATGTAGATTTAAATCAACATTTTTCTTTGGTATACCTTGTACCAAACTTTACACTTAGGCTTACAGATTTTGTTAACCACATAAGTCTAGAAGTACAAACAGTAGGATTTGGACCTAATTGGGTAGGCGAAAATCTACATTTAGACATCATCTTTATTGGAAGAATTAGTAATTATATTTTTTCCTTGTATAGGATAGATACAAGACTATTAGAGGAAGTTATAAGCTCTCATGGTACACAATTTTTGCCAACTCAAGCCTTCACAAGGAGAAATGAAGGACACTTGTGACAAATACACTTACCAAGGAAAGAAAATACTCCCATTAGTGCCCCTTTAACTGTTATATTACATAATAGATCTAGAAGACTTAATTTAAGTTTCGCAGACTATAGAAATATTTCACGACTAAACAAGATAGGCTAATAAAAAATAGATATACCACTTCTATTGTTAGTGATAATGAAAATATTTCTATGATAAATATTATAGAAAATAAATTTTAAAAAGTTAAGAAAAAAAAAACAAAAGAAGTTTGAGTGTATAATTATTTTTCAATAACTTTCACTCAAAAGACCTATTTGCCCAAGTTTGGAAAAGGTAGTGACACGTGGCATCCTTCAATATGCCCTTCTTTATGTGTTTACTCTTAGTGTTTGTATAATATAATCATCAGAGATGTAGCCGGCCTACGTGTCTTTGTGTAGGGGCGGCTGGTGTTACTCCGTTTTTATCAATTCCGTGTGCGGTAACGGGGAAATTTGAAAATTAATCTGTTTTTAAAAAATATTTATATATTAAAATAAAAATAAAAAAGAATAATTATAAATATTATATTTTTATTATATTATTAAAATATATAAATATATTATAATTTAAATATAAAAAATAATTAATTATATTATATTATTAATTATAATTAATTATTTTAATATATAATATAATATTTTTTAATTTATCTAATAAAAATAATAAATAAACAATTATTTATATAATTAAAGATCTATTTTAAATATATATATATATATATATATATAATTGAAAAATAAAAAATTATTTTTCTAATTTAAGTTATATTTATATATATATATATATATATATATATATATATATATATATATTTAAATATTCAAATCATAACAGATTAGTCCGTTTGTTCGCCTGTTTTTTATGATGAGATGGGTCAGATCGTTTTATTATTCTAATCATCATTTTTTTGCATTGGTTATAATAGGGACAACAAAAATATTTAATTGTAATGAATATTTAATAAAAAAATATTTAAGTAGAAGAAAAAAATATTTAAATAGAAGAAAAAATAAATAAAATGAATGAAAAACCAAAAATATTTAATTTAATGGATATTTAATAAAAAAATATTTAAGTAAAAGAAAAAGGAAATAAAATGAATGGAAAAAAAGATATAAGTAGAAGAAAAAATAAATAAAATGAATAAAAAACAAAATATTTAATTGTAATGGATATTTAATAAAAAAATATTTAAGTAGAAGAAAAAAGAAATAAAATGAATGAAAAAACAAAATATTTAATTGTAATGGATATTTAATAAAAAAATATTTAAGTAGAAGAAAAAAGAAATAAAGTGAATGAAAAAACAAAAATATTTAATTTAATGGATATTTAATAAATAAATATTTAAGTAAAAGAAAAAGGAAATAAAATGAATGGAAAAACATATCGTCGCCTAAGAGATTCGAACTCTTGCGGGGAAACCCCATGTACTTAGCAGGCACACGCCTTAACCACTCGGCCAAAGCGACTTTTGCTGATGTTTAACATCGTGAAAAGGTTAATATACAAATATATTTCATTATAGAAAAACTAGTGTTTCTCGTAAGAAAAAGATTTCACTTCTCACTACTAGCAACTACTAATGCTTATTCTATTTCTTTTTAATATAGTCAATTTGATTTAAAAGACGGGCTGATATGACTTATCATTTTCGAAGTGTTCCAAAATATGAATCAAAGTAGAAAAATGATACTAAATAGGTATGAATTTCAACAATGTTTTGAGAACCATAATAAGGATTATTGAGAACAGTTTTGAAATTGATAAGAATGGAGACAAAACTTCTATCTCATGATGGTTTTGTGTTGTGTTGTAATTAAACCAATTAGACCGAATATATGACAATTAATCCATTGTAATTCTTTGTTTAATGTTGAGAAATTGTTGATGTTATCATACCTTGATTTCACCAATTCAACTTCAGTTCTCACTAAATAATCTTCTGCCTCACATTCAAATACATTTGTGGGCTCGAGGTAGAATGGTGAGTAAAATACTGTGGGAAAGTATTTTAAGGTAAACTATAAAAAAATTAAATTAAATTTGATAAAAAAAAAATATAAATCTATATTAGTATCATGTATTAAACTTTTAAAATTTCAAAACATGATCTTTTTGAGTTAGTTACGAGTGTCTCGATCCCACAACGTAATTTGTCCTTTTTCCCTTTCTCATACAACAAGGATCCTGTTTTCCCTCTGTAGTAAGTTTTGTCTCCAAGACAGATCAAGAAAATTAATTATTTTCTCTGTCTATCGTGAAGAATTAAGAGTTGAGATTATGCAGAGAAATGGTTCTGGAGGGAAAAAGTGTTGGAAAGAATCTAAATCCTCATCATCTTTCTCTTATAAAGTTTATAAAATTTTTTAGGTGATGTATATATATGATACATATTTAAATATGTTAGGGTCATTATTTATTAAGCCAAATAATAAAGTGATATGACTAAATTAAAGTTTTTACTTGAGGCATATGTCATGAAAATAAAATTGTGTAGAGACTATGAAGCAATTTTTAATTTGATGAGGGCCAAATTGGAAATACTAAAACTTAAGTAATTAACCTAATTCTGGTTATCTAAAGGGTCATGGTCCCTTTCTGGAACACACACGTAATCAGATCTCGTTCCTTTCTTTCTATCCTCATCAAGAGAGAAAATCAAGAGGGAAATACGAGTGCTTCTTCGAGTGGAAGACCATAATATCAATATAGTGTTCTACAAAGACATCATCGTTATGGCTAATTCGGATACGCTTCGCATTCGAGTACACTTTTGCATTCAGGTTTACAGCATGTTTATCAGGTATGAGATTATGTTTATGTTTGATAGTTAGAATCAAAATTAGAATTATTATTATTATTATTATTATTATTTTTCCAACATACCATTGACTTAATCTTCTTTTGAACAAAACAAGAAATTTCAACATAAAAAACAATAGTTTCTTCTATCACTAAGTTACAACCATAATGTTGTTTAATAATACATGCAGCACAGTTGATTGACATAGATTAAGAAAAACCAAACAAAATGTTGTGTTGGTGATTGACATATATAGAGCCAATATATATAAAGCTACCAAGAAACCTAAAAAATCTACCCTAGAAACATGAAAGAGTTTATTCAGGAAATTCTTGTGACAAAACATGGATGCATGTTAATATGAATTAGCAGAAGTAACATGTATGGCCCTGGATTGGGTTGTGTAGTTGGGAGTTTTTGCTTTGTACGATAAATCCTGAACCTCAAGTCAACATCAATGGCCATGCCAGTTATTTCTAAAACAACAGTGATAATGTTTTCTACAAATAGTAAGGATCAAACTGGAGTTTCCAAACTTATCTGCCAAACTCTTTATCCAAAAGGGTACACTTGCATCTCAATTTTTATCTCACTCTTAAGTCTTATATTAATCCGAACGAAAATTTTAAATAATATATAAGAAAAAATATTCAAATCATATTAATCCTTTGAATTATATGGCATTGGTATTGTTTATCCAGATAAATTCTTGCTTAAAAATTTAATATTTTTTTCTTTTTCTTAAGAACATACATAATAGGAGTTGTTATAAAGAATTGTTTAAAAATAAAAATAAATATTTTATTATAGATTTTTTTAATTACTTAAAATTTGAAAAAATTACTTAAAATTGTAAAAAGTTACTTAAATCGATTTAACTGTAAAATTTATAATAAAATATTTAATTTTATTTTTAAATAATTCTAGGTAAAAATTTCATAGGATGTTTTTAGGATTTCAGTTAATTATGATTTTTTTTACCATTATTTTATGATTTTTTTTATTTCTTTTACAAAGCATGCTTACACCATTCAATGATTAATTCATCATACAGAATTTATTGAGTATTGAAATTGCATGGTTCAAAAATACAGTATTGTTTTTTACAACTGTTTTCTGGGTTAAAAACTACAGTACAACTAAATAAATAAAAAGATTGCATTTTGATCTAAAAAAATTGCATTTTTAAAAACACACAGGTTTAAACTGTAAAGAAAATTATAGAAACAAAAACTTTTGTTTGAAAAATCTTGTTTAGTTTACAATTTTTAGTTTTTAAAAAACAAAAAAAAGAAAAAAATAGTTTTTTTTTATTATTAGTAGCAAAAAATCTTAATGGAGTAATGGTTGATTCGGAAACTTCCCCACAAAATACTTTTTGTAATCGATAAACAATTTAAATTGTAATTAAATGCATTTAAAACCTGTTAATTAGAAAATCAAATATTTATAAATATCATTTATTAATCTTGTAATTAATGGTCATTATTGTGTTTTAATTTTTTAAGGATATTCTTCGCACCTGAAAGGAGTCAAATTCTTGACTCACCAGTTTAATTGGTCTTAAAACTACTGGTCAAATCAAAATTCAAAATATTTAATGAAAAAGAATAATATTTAATTCGTTTATTTATTTTTAAATACTTTTTTTTCATATTTTTAATTTTAAAATTCTTAAAAATACATAAATTGAATGATAACAAGCATATATCTATACGATAATTGGTGATTGTGCAAATTATTTTACTCTCGGTGTATATATATTTTTTCATTAAAATAGAACATATTTTATTATACACCAAAAAATGTAACAGAATGCATAAGAAAATTTATGTGATGCATGGTGAAAAAAGAAACTCTAGGAACTACACACAAGGCATGAGAATAAAAAATTCAAATGGAAAATATTTTTGGGGAAAGAATTGTTCTTGTTCCCATGCCATGATAAATATACCTCTCTTGATGAAAGTAAAATTCAGGAATCCTGGCATGGAAAGATCAAAAGTGCATTAACTATCTTATTTATTGCCTTCACCTATATTTCCACATATTCAGAAGTAGCAGTTTTGTGTCATTTAATGCACCTTCTCCCTCACTCTCTCTTCTCTTCTTCCTTACAACCTGCAAACACCTTCAGTTCCTGATCTATTATGACCGTTTCTTGACTTCAGAACAGTTTTGAAAACACAAGATGGAGCTGGTTTTTCTTGTGGTAATTTTGTCTCTTTCACCAAACAAGCAACAAAGCATTACATCTACTCTATTGTAAGCATCAAAAGTAGACAGAAGATCCGGTCAAGTTCCTTGCTATTTGTAATGCTGATTGTTGCCTACTCATGCATACAAACCCACAGTCAAGATTCTAAATTTGATAGCTATTTTACATCCAACAACAAGAATGGCCTTGTTCCATTAGTTATTTCGCATCCCCACTATTTTTTTCTTTCAGTTTTTGGGCCTTTTCTCCTTGCATTGCTAGATATCCATGAAATTGTGAAAAGTCGCGAGGTAACGATGACTTTGTTGGTTATATGAAGATTGTTAGTTCTCTCCCTGTAAACTGTGTTTCCTGCTGAGCGGTCAAAAGGTATTTCCAACCAACATCAATAGTGAAAATTCTACGTTTTTCTAAATAATATTTAGGGACACAATTCATCATTTCTACGTTATGAACATGAACCTATGGCCAGTCCGATTCGGGACTCTATTTGAGGTTGTGGTTTTCTCATGCTTGTGGTTGCAAGTTTCAAGTCTTGGCTCCATGTCTTCCATTGCTGTCACTTATGGCGACAAAGGGTCTGCGTTTTGTGGCTTGAAATCGGATGGATCTCACACTGTGAACTGTTATGGGATGAACTCAGCCATAATTTATGGAACACCAACACATTTTCCTTTCTTTGGTCTAACTGCCGGTGATGGCTTTGTGTGCGGGATTTTAATGAGTTCTAGTCAACCATATTGCTGGGGTAGCAGTAGCCATGTTGAAATGGGTGTGCCACAACCTATGGTTAAGGGAGCTCAGTACCTAGAGATCAGTGCTGGGGATTATCACGTTTGTGGATTGAGGAAACCATTGACTGGAATACACAGGAATACTTCTTTGGTTGACTGTTGGGGGTACAACATGACAAATAACTATGTGTTTGATGGGCAGGTTCAATCCATATCAGCTGGTTCTCAATTCAATTGTGGCTTGTTTTCTCAGAATAGAAGTGTGTTCTGCTGGGGGGACGAGACTAGTAGCCAAGTTATTAATATGGTCCCAAAAGGCATGAGGTTCCAGAAGATCTCTGCTGGAGGGTACCATGTGTGCGGAATCTTAGAAGGGGTGAACTCTAGAGCTGTTTGTTGGGGGAGGAGCTTGCTGGATTTTGGGGAAGAACTTTCAATTTCATTGACACGTTCAGCACAAGGACAAGGTAACGTTGAATTGGCTCCAAATGATCCCATGCTTTCTGTGGCGGGAGGGAAGTTCCATGCATGTGGCATTAGGAGCTCTGATCGTGGAGTGGTTTGTTGGGGTTATAGTTTCAAAGCAGGCACCCGAGTTCCCAGTGGGATTAAGGCCTTTGAGATTGGTGCTGGAAATTATTTTACCTGTGGAGTACTTGTTGAGAAATCTCTTATGCCTGTTTGTTGGGGCGTTGGCTTCCCTACTTCTCTCCCTTTGCCTGTCTCACCAAGAATGTGTAGGACTACTCCATGTCCTCCAGATTACTTTGAAACCTCACAAAATGGTCTTTGCAAGTCACCAGATTCCCATGTTTGCATGCCATGCAGTGCTGCTTGTCCTCCTGAGATGTATAAGAGAAGGGAATGCAATTTGAAATCTGACATACTATGTGAATATAATTGTTCTCTTTGTACCTCTCCTGAATGCCTCTCCAATTGCTCCTCTTCCTATTCCAATGCTGCCTCTGGCAAGAGAAGTGAAAGATTTTGGTCTCTACAACTGCCGGTGATTATTGCTGAGATAGCTTTTGCTGTTTTCTTTGTTTGCATTGTGTCTATAACTGCTGTGTTGTATGTTCGCTACAAGCTAAGAGATTGTCAGTGTTCTTCTGCGGGAGGGTCAATGGGGAAGAAAGTAAAAGAGAGTTCCTCAAACCAAAAGGAGAAATCCAAGGTCCGACCAGACTTGGAGGAGTTCAAGATTAGGAGGGCACAGATGTTCCCTTACGAGGAACTTGAAAGAGCAACTAGTGGATTCAAAGAAGAGTCCATAGTAGGGAAGGGAAGTTTTTCTTGTGTGTTCAAAGGGGTTCTCAAAGATGGCACTGTTGTTGCTGTTAAAAGGGCCATAATGTCTCCCAACGTGCAGAAGAATTCCAAGGAGTTTCACACTGAGCTTGACTTGCTTTCTAGGTTGAACCATGCACACTTGCTCAATCTACTAGGCTACTGTGAAGAAGGTGGAGAGAGACTCCTGGTTTATGAGTACATGGCTCATGGTTCATTGCATCAACACCTTCATGGCAACAAAGTGATGAAAGAGCAAATGGATTGGGTGCGAAGGGTAACAATAGCAGTGCAAGCAGCTCGCGGAATCGAATATTTGCACGGCTATGCTTGTCCGCCAGTGATTCATAGAGACATCAAGTCTTCAAACATCCTCATTGATGAAGAACACAATGCCAGAGTGGCTGATTTTGGTTTGTCACTACTTGGTCCTGCAGATAGTAGCTCCCCACTGGCTGAACTACCAGCTGGGACTCTTGGCTATCTTGATCCTGAATACTATAGGCTTCATTACCTTACCACGAAGTCTGATGTATACAGCTTTGGTGTTCTACTTTTGGAGATATTGAGTGGCAGAAAAGCCATTGACATGCAATATGAAGAAGGGAACATTGTTCAATGGGCAGTGCCTCTGATAAAGTCGGGAGATATAGCTTCAATTTTAGATCCAGTTTTGAAACCTCCTCCTGATCTTGATGCACTGAGAAGAATAGCTAATGTAGCTTGTAAAAGTGTGAGAATGAGGGGGAAGGATAGGCCTTCAATGGACAAAGTGACAACAGTTTTGGAGAGAGGTCTTGTACAGTTGATGGGGAGTCCTTGCATTGAGCAGCCAATTTTGCCAACTGAGGTGGTTTTGGGAAGTAACAGATTGCACAAAAAATCATCTCAAAGGTCTTCAAACAGGTCAGCCTCAGAAAGCACTGATGTGGAGGATCAGAGGTTTGAGTTTAGAGCACCCTCATGGATCACCTTCCCCAGTGTCACTTCTTCTCAAAGAAGATCAGGTTCAGAGGCTGATGTTGAGGGTAAAAATGCAGAAGGGAGGAATTTGGGCAATGTTGGAGGTGGTGATGTTTTAAAAAGTCTTGATGAAGAGATTGGTCTTGCCTCTCCTCAAGAGAAACTCTTCTTGCAACACAACTTCTAACCTTTAAAGGAAGCACACATGTTATTACTGTTCCCCAATTTTTTTGTTTTGTTTTGTTCATTTAGTTTCATCATGAAATATTTAGTTCATATTTTCATGGAGTTGTGTTTCAGAATCTTAGTGGAGCTTTCATTCTTTCATGCAACTACACTTGGATGTAAAGCGTGTCATTTGTATTCAATTCTAAGATAACATTGGCTCCTTTCTTTTATTTATTTATTCGAATCAGAATTGAGTTATTTTATAACCTCAGATGAAACAATACTCTGAAGTCATTACCTTTAGCAGTATTTGTCAGTCAAATATTGGGATCATCATCTAGTAAGAACCAAAAATATAAAGCAAATTATGCAGTGGATTATCAGAGAGTTTTCATATGAAATTTTAGCACGCAAATAAACAAATAATTATATAACCCCCCATTTTATATTATATATTATAATCTTTACGGCCTCGTCTACTTCATTTTCTTCATTATATAAAGATGTGTTTATACATTTATTTATACATAGGTTTATAAAATAGTACTAGTTTTTGAAAAAGCTTATTTTACTTTTAAAGTTTATACAGAAATAGCACTAAATTGACACAAGCATCTTACAATTTCTTAAAATTATTTTTTATCAGTTTTTATAAATATTTCGGGACTTCACTTGTTTTACTAATATTTTGCACAAATAGATAATACATGCATCCACACATGTTTCAAAAAAAAATTATGATAGTTAGGGACTTTTTCACTTATATTGTTAACTTTTTTGCATAATATTATAATCTTTATTTAAAAGATCCCTATTTCTTTTATCAGTAAACATACCTTAATTTAAACTTTACACTTGTAATTTAGTCATATACAATGCCAGATTTTATATATTTAGTCTGGATTATCATATCCAATAAAGTAGTAATTAATTCGTTCATGATTGGGTGAGGGAGGGTTCACTTCCAAAACAACCGGCCAGGTTATAATATCAATTGGATTCAACCCTTGTCTCAAACACCTTGATACCTCTAAACACAGCAAATTGTCGTGTCAGATGGTAATGAAATGCTGCCAAAAATAAAGTGAATTCATTTATGGAAAGTTGGCCAATAACAAACTGAATTTGAACTGTGCATTCTCAATATTATTTGAATGCTATACAAAAAAGACAACCATGGATAGAACTTTACAACATCAACAATGGAACAATTTAATTCTGTCAAGGCATTTGCATGCCTGTTATGAGTTGCACATTGTTAACGTAAGAATGGATTCAAAGGACCTGTACATTGACTGAACTAGTTTCTTCTACAACGAAAATATCCCAGCATATGAAGCAATCTAATGAATTATTGAGTTCCATTGAACTTGACAAACTGAACTACAGAACTCACCTGATACCTAGCTTAAAGAAGTAAATACCTAGGTCAGTAACTATATTATTGCACGACATTTCTAGCAGCACTTTTGACCCGGCAAGTTGATCCTGCGTTTCATCCAGTGAAAAATAATTAGAAAGACTGGATAGCTGAGCTGAATCTATCTATGACTCTGTTGTTCTTTGGTTTCAATCTCCTTCACACTGTCCACAATGTGTTGTATTTTCTTTGAAAGGCTTTCATTATGCTCTTCAATGTGCTCAAATATCAATTCAAGATGCCTTTTATAGGTTGCAGACCGTTTTTTCTCAATAGCCAACTGCTGAGATAGTTCTCGAATTTTATCATGTTCATTCTGGAAATTGCATAGAACAAAATATGTAAGGATGGGAAAAACTCAATTCAACAAGACGATCTTCAAATTGCTCAAGCCACCCTTCACAGAAGGTTTCACATGGACAAACACAAGCATATACGCCAAACAGAAGATGTTGTCAAAATATTTTCCATGCATCTTAATACAGAAACTCAAACATCAACTAAAATTGCAATCAATAGTCATTAGGCATAAATGACAAGGATTTTACAGTTGAGAATGCTTGGCCCAAAGCAACTGTAAGTAATTTGTGTAAGGTTTTTAGTGGGGATTCTGTTAAAACAAAATTAAAACTTTTGTATGATGGGCTCGATAGACAGTCAATAGCACCGAGTGCGTGAGTATCTAATCTATTATCTATCAAGGATAAAATAACTGTTAACAGAATAAACATAACCACGTATTCCATCTCACTGATGAAAAGAACACAAACTCACCGGGTATTGCTCGTAGATGCAGTCCCTTCTACCTTTTCCAGGTGTCAAAGGATGTGTGTGCTCCTGTATAAACTTTGTAACAACCCATTTACCGGAACTTACTTTCCTCACCAAAATCATGGCCCTGCAACCAACCCTAGTCTCTGCCCTTTGCCTTACAATCTTTTCACGTTTGTCAGGCATTCTGTAACCTTCTCTGTTGCAAACCAGAGCCCTTCCAATAGCAGATCCATCACGCCTTGATCGTGAGAGCTTACTCACGCGTATGATGAACCCAACACGTGTAGCATATGCATTATAAAATGCATGTGCTGCAGCTTCAGAATCAAACTCCTGTCCCACATAAGGCTCATCAGCTGAAACAACGGAAACTGCAGGAATTCCTGATGGGATTGTGTCCTCTCCAGAAGAATCTTGAGTGATATTATCATCATGATCATGTTTATAAGCCGGATTAAAAGAGTTGCAACCTACTTTGTTTTCATCAGCTGTGCTACAACTGTTAATCTGCCCTACAGTAACATTTCCTACTGTCTCACCATTAGTGGAGCCATCAATCCCAAACTCCACTGCAGTAACAAAATATCTGTTAGAAGATTTTCAGTGCTGGGTGATATTCTACAGAACAGTGTATAAAATTGATGAAATACTAGTATTTCGTTGAAGAAAAAAATTATGAAAGAAAAAAAGAACTATATTGTCCTAATTTCAAAATTATTTAGTGCTGATTTTATTTTAAGAAGAAAGCTTAAAATGTTATATGATATAATAAGTACTACAAAGAATAGGAGAAAGAAAGCCATACAAGTCAAAGTCATTCACAGAGGACAAGTACAATCCACTACAACTAGAACAGTTATAATGGATTACCAGTTCAGCAGTTACCAAAGCTTAATTCAAAGACTTTTCAAAAATTCAATGTGAAGGAACAATTTGTGTTTCAAAAGTATGACAAAAACTCAATTAATGGTATATAAACATTAGTCAACTTCAAACAAGCTTCTTTTTGTTTTTGTCCACAAAAGCTATGCTTTCGTAGAATAACAGAAAAAAAAGAGAGAGAGAGAAATTAATGACTCGTAATATACCAAAAGAAGCATTCGATCTGTTTATTTTCCACTTCTCCAAAGCTTATTGTAAATCAAACATGAATAACACCATATAGAAAATAAAAACTGCCAGAATTTTGAGTTTGACTATCAAATGAATCAACTGTTAAAATTTGCAAATCATTTTCTCAAACATTCCGGAAAAAAAGAAGAAGCTAACAAACATTGTCAATAATCCATCGTTTCATAACAGAATGAATCTTTTGCACCCCAAAAACAGTACATCATTCTAAAGGAGTGTGATGCATTAGTCCAAGTTTCACGTCCCAGCCAAAAAGAAAAAAATAAAAGATGGATTTTTATGCCCTTTTTTCAATTTTTCTCACACGTGAAACAGAGCATTAAAGCCAATGTCCAGGTCTTCGGCAAAAGTTCCTACGCACTACAGTTCAAACGAAACTCAATTATTCAGCTACTTGGTTTATTCCCCTTGGAAAAAACAATTACAAGGAAGAATAATTGAAGCGCTCCAATTCAGTACTGGTGTAACGCAGTCGTTTAAGAAAGCGGGAGAAGGGAAACCCTAAAACTTGATCGGAATGGAATTGGAGCAATTGAGTGGCCAAAGCGAAGAGGGAGAAGTCGTAAAAGTGGTAATAAAAAAATTCTAAAAAAAAAAAAAAACTTACTGAGAATTGAGGCTGACGCAAATTCGATTGTCGTAGGAAGCGACCGTGATTGTGAAAATTAACTTTTATGTTTTTGTGTTCCGTGCAGAGAGAGCAGATTCATTCAGAACAGAGGAGGAGGGTTCACCTGAGGCGAACCATATCAATTCTTCTGTATGCCTCCTCTTACGTGTCAATCCCTCGTTGGAACTCCTCAAAAAGTCAACCTTTCAATTTAGTCAATTGTTCGCGTGTCCTCAAGTGGCACGGCCCACGGCCCGTGTATTAGGACCCGGCCCATTTTTACGACCCACCCTATCCTTGTCTTAAAATAAAATAAAAAATGTTATTTATTACAACTATATAAAAGGTTTTATTTGAAAAATATTTTTTTTAATATTTTTTTAGTATTACATTTAGCACAAAGATTACCAGAACCTATAAAAGTATTACTAATTTAGGATAAAAATCAAAGCATGCACATTTTGTTTGGCTTAAATCCACAAACACTATCCGCACACACACTTTTCTCCCTTAGCATTGATTCTAACATACTACTCCACGTCTCTTCTTCTTAAATTCTAAATTTTAATTTGTAGGGATTATTGCATTTAACCGAGTTAATAGGAATATTTTTTAAAGTAAAATATGAGGATATAATTAAGAACACCGATATATATATATATATATATATATATATATATATATATATATATTTTTTTTTTTTTTTTTTTTGTCTATCACTTATAAGATATTCTTTGTTCATTATATAACTTAACTTCATCCTTTAATTTTTTTTTCTCGTTTTTGTTTTTGGATTTTGAATCAATGTTTCTGAGAATCTGGTTCATTTGTAAACCAAGAAAGGTTTCTTCTTCTATATATTATATACGCATTTCCTTGATTCCCTTGAAAGTGACGCACTTTAACAACAAACCAAACACACTAAAAAAATGTTCTGTGAGTTATTTACGTAGAAAAATGAAGGAGGTGAAGGAATGTGAAAAAGTTAATAGAGTTTGGAAAGGTAGGTCAAAAGATGCATGCATGATCCTAATAACATGGTGCGTGCACGTTGTGTTGTGCAATTGAAACAACTCATGGATTTTGTTTTAGTCTATGCTCTATTGAGTTCATGGTGTTTTGAGGAACAAAAAAAGTACATGGCTATTTTCCTGTCTCATGCATACCCTTCTATTATCTTCTTCTTCTTCTTCTTCTTCTTCTTCTTCTTTTTGTCTTTTTCCCTGTTTGTTTTGTTCTATCTGTTTGCCCTACTTTCTTAGGTCTCAGTCTTATTATGATTACCCAAATTGTTATTTATTTAGGCCAAGTAATTGGTATGAAGAAAATTGTGTTAGAATGAGACTTATGAAAAATTATCAGAGCATTGCGTCAAAAATGTTTTTTTTTTTTTTTTCCTTTTTACTACTTTTATTTTCTTTGCCATTGTAAAGAACCTTTTGGGTAGTCACTAAAATATTCGTGATTAGAATTTACAAAGATAATGAGAAAATTGTAATTTTGAAGTTTATATATTCTAATGATGCAATTTTGATGTCTCAAAATCGAGTTGTGTTGTATTATATAATTTGAGAAGATTTAAATAATAAATATCAATTAAAAACTAAAAAACGTGCATGCTTACGTTTAACCCAACGTAAACATGATATAACATAAATGAGATTCTATAATTAAATATTATATATTGCAATAATTAAATTCATTTAAAGTTTCAACCAAAAGAGAAAGAAAAAACAAAACAAAAATCACCAAATATATCATCAAGCCTACATAAATATAATATTAAAAAACATAATTTCGCAATACTAAAGACTAAAACAAATAAAAAAATGTGTTGGTTTTTGAAATTTAAATTATATCAAAAAATTAAATAAATTGCATTATAATACTAACAACATACCTCAACATTTATCGTTAATAATAAGTTTAAAATTGATAACTTAAAAAGTCAATTTTTGAGTATTATTTTTAGTTTTTGTTAAAAATAGTTAAAATAATATATTCAGTTAAAAAATCTCTATTCCGACATAACATAATTTATTATTTCTTACATTTGCCCTAATTCGATTTTTTAATTTTTTTTTTCAGATATTTTGACTTTTCTTCTTCCTCACTTCTCTTTTAAAATTTATTTAAACCAAACTAGTGATTTATAGTTAGAAAGTCATGTTGATAATCCTATATGATCTTATATCCATTGTTAGTTTTTCGCTTAAACTAAATTAGAAAAAAAATTACGAATTTAACTTTCTCAAATAATTGAAACCAAAATGAAAACAGACATTAACATTAACATTAATTAATTTTTTTTTACCTTAAAGAACATATTCGAACAGGTCAGACCCATATTAAATTTAATTAAATATATACTCTTTTGACACATGGAATATATAATAATGATAATTTAATCTTTACACAAGTTGCAATTTTTAATTTGACGTTGTACCTAAAAATATTAGTAATTTAATTCCAAAGATATTCCAATTGGGTTGAGTATGAGAAAAGCAAGTTTGAAATTAAAAAGACGATAGAGAGTCCAAATCCATCAATTTTCACGCCCCAATCAAAACCACTGACTTAACACCAAATCTCAACAACTTGCTGTAATTTATGGTGTACAAGATACACCAAATTGCATTAATTAATTAATCTTATCATTACATCCATTTTAAAATAATTATTTTATCACAAACATATATAATAATAAGATAATTTTTACAATAATTATAATTATTTCGTATATTTATGAGTCTAGTTTAAATTTTATTTATATACTTTTTTTAACTTGAAATGTATTTTAAAAATAAAATATTGACCCAGAGAGGAATAATTATTCAAAATAATTGAATATGTAATAGATTAGAGGATTGGTTGAAAGGTTAAAACTATAAGGCAATACCATTAAACTTTCACTATTATAATTAAAAAAAAAAAAATCCTTTTTTTAAATGTAGAACCCTTTCTCTTTCTATATATATCTTCACGAGACAACATGTTATTCTCTCTCTCTTCTTTTCTTTCTTACAACGAGTGTTTCAAAGTCCAAACACACTCTCTCTTCCATGGCTTTCAACAATGGCGTCCCCGCCACCGGCACTGGCCTCATCGCCAGTTTTGGGGAGATGCTCATCGACTTCGTCCCCACAGTTTCCGGCGTATCGTTGGCAGAGGCTCCGGGGTTCCTAAAGGCCCCCGGCGGCGCCCCAGCCAACGTCGCCATCGCCGTCGCGAGACTCGGTGGCAAGGCCGCCTTCGTAGGCAAACTCGGGGATGACGAGTTTGGCCACATGCTCGCCGGAATCCTGAAGGAGAACGGGGTCCGCTCCGACGGAATCACCTTCGACCAGGGAGCCCGCACAGCCCTGGCGTTCGTGACCCTACGCGCCGACGGAGAGCGTGAGTTCATGTTCTACCGGAACCCCAGCGCCGACATGCTCCTCCAACCAGAAGAGCTCAACCTCGAACTCATCAGATCTGTATGCATCTTTTCTCTCTCTCAACTTTCTCGCGAGTTTTTCTTCACCTTTTCCTGGAAAATCTAAGTCTTTTGTTTCATGTGTCTCTTCATGATTGAGAAGAGTGCATTGTGGAGAGAGTCCGTGATGTCACGCGCGTGGGGGAACACGGGGCGTGACTTTTAAGATATTGCCACGTCAGGTTCAGTGTAGTGGGGTCCATTACTAGATCTAGGATTCATGACCCTTTCTTTACGTTAAAGTTCTCAAAAATCGATGTTTTTCTGAACAAAAGTATTGCCGAACACCGATCATGAAGGTTGGTGGTGGTGGGTAGGGTTGGTGGTTTAACGGGGCACGTGATTCACGTGCGAGAACCAATTGGAGGTAGATCTGTTTCCTTTGCATCCAACAACACAAATATAGAACTTACGCACGCGCTAGGATGAGGGTGGGATTTCGGAGGATGAATTATGCGTTTTGTGTTGTTATCTATTTGACTATTATTGCATGCTCTTCGTTGTGTTTCTTTCTATGTCGTGACCCATGCTGTGTTGGCTTTGACCAACATCTCCACGCGATTCTAGCCTTTATTATATACTTAAAGGAAATTGCTTAGAAATTTTTTAAATGATTTTGTTTATCTTTCAGCTGCAATGAATTTAGTTGTTTGACTGAATCCCGAGATGTAAGCAATGATAAGCGGAACTGATAGCAGTTTATACATATTTAACGTGATTTCTATCAGTATGAAAAGAAAAAGCAAATTACACTAACAGTCTTCAAGGGTTTTGAGTTTGCATATGATTTTATTGTTCGACAATGTATACATCATCATCTTTTATAAAAATATAAAATGAATGTCAGCAATATCCTATTTATAATGTTTTTGAAATAATTAATAGGGTCAGTTTAGAGATTAAAAAAAGGGGTATTATGATTATAGTATTTTTTGATTTCACTGATCTATATCCTTTAGCTTGTGAATGGAGGAGTGTGAGTGTGGGGTCCATAATTTACAGCCTAGAAAGTAAAGTTTGCAATGATAATAAACAGATAAAAAAAAAAAAAAGTCTACGATTTAGTGCCTATATCATGATTGGTACAATGAAATCAATTTTGTATTCAAGAAGATTATTGACCAACTTGACATGGCAGGCAAAAGTTTTCCATTACGGATCAATTAGTTTGATCGTGGAGCCATGCAGATCAGCACATTTGAAGGCAATGGAAGTTGCCAAAGAAGCTGGTTGCCTGCTCTCCTATGACCCCAACCTCCGCCTCCCCTTGTGGCCCTCTGCTGACGAAGCTCGTAAGCAAATACTCAGCATATGGGAGAAGGCTGATTTGATCAAGGTCAGTGATGTGGAGCTTGAGTTCCTCACAGGAAGTGACAAGATTGATGATGCTTCTGCTTTGTCATTGTGGCACCCCAATTTGAAGTTGCTCCTTGTCACTCTAGGGGAAAATGGTTCCAGATACTACACCAAGGTAAAAAATAACTTCACTTGAATTACCTATTCCTTTTGTGTCTTTTACCATTGTGTTGAATGTTGGATGCTTTAATGCTGTCACAGTATGGTAGATCCGTAGATGTTTGTTTGGTTTATTATGATGCGTCATGGTCACTCTGAATGCTTTGCAAATAATTGATTGATTTGTAAACAAGTTGCTTTCAGGCTGGGCCAGGGGCACACTTGTTTTTCTGCTTCTCACCATCCTTTCCATCCCTTTTATCACAATAAACTCAACCTCTTTGCGCTTTATTCTCTCCTGTTAAGTCATTCAGCGTGGCTCTGGAATTTCCAGCTCACTCTTGTAAAGATTAAACTTTGAATATCCTGCAATAGAGAGCACAGCAAAACAGTTTGTCGTTTGCTATGAAGCCATCTCTAACACCAAATACTGTTGTTGATGGCTACTGTCATGTATTTGCTGTGGCCTACGAACTAAAATTGTCCTGTTGCGTTCAGATTATTTTTGTTTTTTTTTTAAGTAACGTGTTTTGTAATATTGTGTGGTACTTATACCTTAAAACGGAAGAATTTGTACACTAATGAGTTATTCGTCATTTTTGCGTAAACCAGAGTTTCAAAGGATCAGTAGATGCTTTTCATGTCAACACAGTTGATACAACTGGTGCCGGTGATTCCTTTGTTGGTGCTCTGTTGTCCAAGATTGTGGATGATCAGTCCATCCTTGAGGTGAGTGCTTAGCTACCACATCCCCTAAAAAACTTATTTTATCTTGGTAAAATCACAAGTGATAATGATCGTTCTTCGTTTTACTTACTGATTACAGGATGAACCAAGATTAAGAGACGTACTCAAGTTTGCTAATGCATGTGGAGCAATTACAACTACCAAAAAGGGAGCAATTCCCGCCCTTCCAGAAGAGGAGGATGCATTGAAACTGATCAAAGGGGCATAGAATCTGTGGACAAAAATAATAGCATCATTTCGTTTTCATCCCCCAACGTTTCAATTTTCCGTTGGATTTGCTTGCTGTCAATTTAAGAGGGAATGCCTCTTGATTTTCTTTAGTGCTTTTGTTTTTCCTCCTACGCACTGACGGCGAGATTGCGTGTTTTCTGGCTTTGGCAAATAACGCTTTCTTTCAAGTTTTGAGAATTAGCAATGGAATGATATGAAATCATAAGCTCGGCCCGCAGTTGCAACTTAAACCGCCTTGTATTTTAATCGCTGCATTTGTCTTCTGCCTAGTTCTTCTATTCAAGTTTGCTTGCTAATTGTTTTTGCAATCTACTGTCAAAGAAAAAAAAAATTTAAGAGCGAAAACCAGCCGGTTGATTTCACGTTTTTACGCAGTTCAAAAGCAATAGAAGCCCAGACGAAAATCATCCACAGGTTAATTCACATTTTATAAGGAATTTTAAACCTGCCAATTCGTTTTATACAAAAAATTTTCTTCTAATTTTGCAGGAATTTAAAGTGCAGGCCGGAAAAATGTTGTAACATAAGAATTTCCCGGATGGGAAGTGTTACATTTTCGCAGTTATAATAATAGTGTCAAGTATAGTCGTGACAAATAATCACCATTCCATTTTCTTAGAGTGGACTTGCATAATATAACAAATAAATTGTACGATTTACAAACACATGCTCATTTGGTTCGAAACTCCTTGGCAAATGCCCGATAAGTTATTATATTACCGAGCGGTATAATCTATTCTCAAGTAAGGAAGATGTTTTCTGATAACGTTTCCTTTTTGTTTGATTTAACTTGAATACATTCTTCTATTCTACTCTTTTAAGTACACCTCGCCCTGTAGTTGGTGGGTTTCAACTCTGGTGTAACAGATATGGTTGACATCTATAAGACGATAGCTTGAGGATGACATTCACTAACCTCAATCTTTAACGACTTCCAAGCACTTGCACATCTTTCCCATTTTGCATGCAAGTGAGCCAGAAAAGCCTCTGCCCATTGTTCATTACTCCCTCTCATGCTTAGATCATAAGGCACTGAAAAACTGTTTGGGAAGTGCTTTAAATGTCAGAAATCCACCGATTGATTAACTTCATATATCATTCGTTTGACTTTAAAGTCGATTCATTATCAGTGTAAGTTTTCACACTAACAGAAGACAATAAAGTCACCATGATGGTGTGATCAAACTCATCCAAAAAAAAAAAAAAAATTATGGTTTTAAAAGAGCTATGACCAAAACTTGGTGTTGAGTGGTGATCTTAGATCACAAAAAAAGGCCAACAGTCTGGCAGATGCATACTTAAAAAAAGTGAAAAGTAATAATAATGTATGCATATTGACCACACTATCACATCTTCCGTAACAAGCTCTTTGCTTGATATTGGAGGATGCAAGGCAATTTCAGCCCACGGTTTCCTAATTCTGCATATTAGTTCTCAAATTTCAGGCTAGCCATGTCGTAAATTGTCACTTATAAAGCATCTGCACCTTTTTATTATTAAAATCATTTGACAAAAAGACAACTATTCTACATTTCATGTGCGTACATAAATCAAAAACTCATCTTAACAAAATCATTAGAATCACAATAGTCTTTACTATTGTCTCTTTTCACACCATTTGCTTGCAAGCTAAAGCATCTTTCGTGTGTGCCAAAGTTTTAAAAAATTTGAATTAGACAAGAGTTGTCTTACAAAATACCATAGATCATTGTTATTTTTTTAAAAGTCAGGTTTCCTCAAACATTTTGTATATGGGACAAATTCCAGCTTGGGTCTTTATCTTGGTCCAGGTCACAATACGCTTTCAATGGGTTTCAAATCCATACAAAAAAACTAAAATCCACTCAAATGGGGTTCATTTTGTCACTTAAGGAACACCTCTAGTTGGAGGTTTTACTAAATGATATTCACAAATCCAAATGTACTATTTACCTTAATAGCTCTTCAGCTTGGGTCCCTTTCTTGAGAGTACTATTCCTGCAAGATCTCAAAATGTAGTATTTTAATGTACTCACTGTGTGAGACTGCGTTTAACATGAAAAATAAAAGAAAGATTGCCACCTTAAGTTAATCCAATATAGTTGGTAAGTCAATGATATCACAAGCAAATATCACATTATCCTTGTTATCTCACCTTAGTCTTTTTTATTCTTTATCATATCTCTGCTTTTTGGATAAAAAATATAAAAACAAACTATATTCTGGAGAATTTAACGCAGTTTCTACATCAAACATATACATCAAACATATACTGGAGGTTTCATAATCTAAACCATGGACAAATGCCTACGTAAACAAACCTGCAGACAAACACTTGAAAAATATGAAGATACTTGGTCGAAAGATTATAAATGGCATCTGCAATATGCTCCTTGCCAAACAGATAGACCACTGGATAACCTAGAAGCCATCTGAAGCAAGTAAATATAATATTAGATACTCTCATCACATATATGGAATAGGACGAAAATAGCTATGCTATTCTACGAACCATAGTTAAGACAGCACATGTTCATACTGGTCTACTGTCCAGTTGTCCATAACATGTGACAGTATTAACTTTATACTTTCATTGACATTCAGGGTAAATATATCAGTATAGATTGTCAAACAACAATTTTATTTGAATTTGAATCATTCCACTACTTGAATTGAAAGAATCAGGTAGGACCTAGTAAAAACTGATAACTGAAATCTGTGGAGTATTGCAAGAACTAAGAATCTGACGCAATGAACAACCCATCCAGCAGAAAAAATATAAGATATAACATACTACTACTTGCAAGCTGTGTAACATTTCACGCTCATAATAATGCCACAAAACTCAGCAATCTACATGGAACACTATTTGTAAGACAGAACAGATGGATAATCAGTGGAATTGTGTGCAATAAGAGATTAATTGTTAGACAGTCTTCCGTGAAGAATGAGAACCATACTAAACAACCCTTTATTCGCCACAAATTTGCAATCATTCCGCAGTGATAGCAATACAGAAAATAGCAAAACAATATGCGAAACAAGCAAATTTGCAGAGACCCATTAGCATAATATTTATAATCAGAAAGTTAGTTGAATCTACGTGGAGTACCTACATGGCTAGCAAAATGCTATATGATATATTCAAATAAATGATAGGTGACAATGTAAATGTATGTACATCGGTTGAAAGGGAATTAGAATTACCCATTCAAGGTTGGCACAGTGACGTCAGTGTTGTCCAGGCAGTTACTGAGATCAATGCAGTCAGTAGTAGAATGAGAGGGTAAGCTCTGACTCTGACAAGTGGCGTTGGCATCATCCGTACATTTGACCTCCTGTGAAGGTGAGGGGTCGCTGGTTCTCTCAGGAGAGAATATAGTCAAAAACAACCTCTGAATCGATACTAGCTGCATTGCTAATTGGCTTTCCTCAATTTTCGTTATCATCTGAAGACCGGTAAAAACGATTGATGAAATTGAAAGCATGAAAAGTGCTAGAGGCAGGAGAGGGAGAAAGTGGTGGAAGTTGGAAGACCTTAGGGTTTTCCGATTCAAGGTCGACAAAGAACAACCGTCGGTGAGAGTCGAAGGTTGAATTGAGAAAGTGCGATACTTCGGTTAGGTGTATTAAGTATATCATGTCTTGTATAACCATCACTCGTATATGCTCGAAAATTAGGGATTTCTGGAAGTAGAACTGAACATGAGATAACTAAAAACAGATTATAGAATGAGAATAGAATAAAAGGGGATTCACCTTCTGTGCTAGTTGGAGGAGGGAAGAGAGATGGTGTTGGAGTTGAGGCATGATTCCACCGTAATCTACCATCACAACCGGTCGCATTCTTGTAATCAGAGCAAGCATATCTGCAGCCACGCCATGAATAGAATGAAAGATGAAACAAAAAGGAAATTGAAAGAGAGAAGTGAGAAACGACCTAATTGTAAGCGACGCTTGGAAGAAGGTTTGAGGCGCCAATTGATATTCGTTAAACACGAATCCAACACCTTCATCCCTTCGTCCAATTCTGAAGGTTCCATGCGATATGATTATCAATTCAATATCCTTCTTTCTTCACTTCACTCGGGTGCAGTGCAGTGTAGCACATCGCACCAGTCTCTGCTTCCCATACTGTATCAATGTTAGATCCTTGGGCCGGGCCGGGCCGGGCCAGGCCAGCCACGATACTGGCCCATAATCCTAGGATGCTTTTGAAAATTTTGTACGTTTTTTTATTAAATTTTTTAATTGTATTTTACATTTATCACGTTTATGAAAATTATTCTTCACTGTTTATAATTTTTTTACTTAATATATAATAAATTTTATATGAATGTATATTACTTCTTGGATTGACAATTTTTCCATTTCAATCTTTATGGGCAATTATAAATGCAAAGTAATTTATCTCTGTATTAACAATATATAAATATGGTTCTGCAAAATTTGTTTCCCTATTTGCTAAACACACTGTTGAGATAAACAAACACTGCACTTGCTTATGGTTGATTGTGTTTTGGACATCATTTTTCCATGGGATTGAACAAAAACCATACATAGTAGCTGTGAGTATTCGAGCAATGTCATAAGTTGTGCTGACGGACACATTCTGTAGACCGTCTCTGTCCCCAGTGGCAGAGACCAACATTTGTTGGGTACTTTAGACAGTTCTTTGAAGGCTACCTCTAAGATTTGTGGAATGTGCAAACATTGAAGGAAGATTTCCGGTAAGAAAGTTGTGTTGCTTGATGTTTGCACTTTCATACCATATTCCAAGGGAATTGAATCAGATAATTGATTGATAGATAGATAAATTGATCGCAGTCAAGTTCACAAAAGTCACCAAATTCACTGGTAAATGACCCTTCAGATGGTTCCCTTGAGCATCAAGCACTTGAAGCCGTGGCCCTTGCAGAGAATAGTTGTGAAACTGTTGAAAGAAACATTGAGGTGAAGAACATTTCTTAAGGGAAGAATATTTCCAATGAGAGTCTGTTGTCACTCACATCTAACCAATTCAAGTATGAGTCGCTTGAGGGGTGTCAAGTGCCCTGAAAAAATGTTATGGTGAAAACGCATGTTTCTCAAACTCACTGGAAGGTTTGGAAGATCCCCATAAAACTGATCAACACTGATGATGTCTAATGTTGTTTCATTTAGAGATTTTTGAGTCTTGGTTTTGTAATAGCATTTTAAGGAACACTTATAGGACAGAAAAATTTATTCCCCAAAGGCATGAAATTCTATGTTGTCCAGCAACAAAACACCTAAAGTACAATACGTGTCAACTCCTCACAACATGTAAAAATTGTTGTCCTTAGTAATGAATAATTGAATATACAGCATATCAACATGTCTGGTTGGAATAGTTTGTTTTGAGAAAATAATAATCTTTTCCGACAATTTAGTAAAAGAGCTTTTACAAAAGAAAAAAAAATAATTATTTCTCCATAATTAGTCTTTCCAATCATGCATGTAGCATCCCATATGGCAAGCCATGTGCTTAGCCAAGATCAGGCACAGTAAAGTACTCATCATCATCATCATCATCATTTACGGCTTCAATCCTAGGCTTTTTGTGTGAGATGTAGGACTTGGAGGTTCTGTATGAGGCAACAGTGCTGCTATTATGAGTTACTGGAAGCTGAGGTACTTCAGCTGCAGCCAAGGCTTCCTGAGTAAATTGTTCACCAAAAATACCCTCATCTGTAAGCCATTCCAGCTCTCCAAATTGTAGAGATTCCTTATGAGCACAATAATAAAACCAGAGTTACAAATATTATAAGGGAAGAGGCTCCATAATTATTAAGTATCAGAAATAAAACTGAAATCAAGTCCCGGACGTAAACAAAAAGTAATTTTTCATAAAAAAAAGAAATGTTGATTATGTGTGGGCGTGTGTCAAAATAAGTAAGAAAACATTTACGCATCATTAATTCAAGAAAAATTCTTCAATGTAATTCCTGTTCTTATTCTTGATCAGGAAAGGGTCCATGAAAAAAAACTGTATTGATCACTCTTGATGACAAAACATGAGTAAGTGTCTTATCTGATACTTGCATCAGACTATCAGGCTAAGAGGATGTCAGTGATGGTAGGATAAATTCCAGAAAACAATAACCAAGCTAAAGAGTTTTCTATAGGCTGTATAGCTTTCTGAATGAATCAAAATTTTCACATTTTCCAGCCACATCAAACCCAGTTATAATGTTCAGTACCATGATAATTGGCTACAGACCATGCTATTCTATGAGGCAGTTCAAAGTTGCCCAAAGGGGGAACAATGAAACATGTAATGCTACTAATTTATTTCAGCAACTCTATTATGTGCGTATGCAACTCTATTATTAGGAAAAAAAGCTGCCTCTTACTTTCTCTGGTGATTCAAAGCCTGTCAATTCCAACAAGTCATCAACAGCCCAAGAGGATGTGAAGCTAGGCACTTGCTGAGAAGCAATTTTCGTGGAAACTTGTTGTGCATTCCTATTAGGAGGCTCCAAGTGAACATTTTCATTGTCTTTGGTGCAATTAGAACTTGAGGCCACTCGGATACCAGTGGCTAGGAAGCGCTGGTGGTTTGCAGAAAGGCTTCCAGCTGAATGAATTGGTTCATCACAGTCCTGACAGAAGAGTGCTCTGTCTTCAACACAAAATATGAATGCTGGTTTGTCCTGTTGGTGGAGGGAAAAAGAAGAGAAAATGAGCAACAACCATATGGAATTTTTTACAATCACAATCTCCATCAGACAATTGTATTCCCCATTTCAGCAAAGGTATTAACTCATACACTATACTTGAATTATCCTAAACCAGGTTCCATCAGTTAACCTAGCTCAAGATCCAGTGTCAAGGGTAATATTCAGTCAACATGTGTATACATAATATGTTTAACAAGAACATAGAAAATAGCTAGTGACATTCTCAGCCCAAACCACCAGAAAGTCTAATAAACTTAATGCGTTTAAGAAATAAAATAAGATTTCTACACTTGATGTTTAAATAGGTTCAATTGGATACCATCATCAACGAACAAGATCAACACAACAATAGCACTTAAAATTATCGAGAGATGACTCTATGACATCATAAAACTAGAAGACGCAGAAATTTGAGTTTCTTACTTGGCAAATGTCACATCTGGGAAGCTTGTTTGATAGACATTGAAGAAGAAGCCTTTGGTGCTTGCTAGCTAGCTTGTTTGCAGCATGGACTTCAACATCACATTTGGCACACAAAGCTGCCTCATCTGCGCAACAAATCACTGTTGCTGGAGCTCTCTCACACACATCACACTGAATTTTCATAATAGTTATTTTTCCTCCTTCTTTATTAGAAAAAATATATGGCAAAAAATTGTCACAAGAAGAAATATTCAGAACCCTTTAGCAGACAGGAGTTTCTAAAGCTGAGGACGGTGGTGGAGAGATGAGAACAAAAAAAAGAACACAACTAACATTAGAAGTACAATACAGAACTAGTATTTAATGTGGTTGAAGACAGAAAAAGAAGTGACTGGATGAGATTTAATAGCATGTGAAGATAAGGATTTGGATGTTGCATTGCGTATCAGTTTCTGTAAGTAAGAACAATAAAAACAACAGGGATGAGTGGGGTTACCTTGTCAAAGGTGTGTGTGGCTGTGGATGCCTCAACAAGTACAAACCATGTTTGAGTGGACAATACATTTTCTAACTTTTCATTCTATCATTTCTATAATAATAATAATAATAATAATAATAATAATAATAATAATAATAATAATAATAATAATAATAATAATCATTTCATAATAATAATAATAATAATAATAATAATAATAATAATAATAATAATAATAATAATAATAATAATAAGCCCTAGTCAAAATGAATTAACTCGATTTTCGATCCCATCAAGATTGGTATCGAGTAGAGTCTTCTGAGTAAAATTATATTTGGTTTTCTTGTGGGGGGGAAGTAGATCACATAAACATCAGAATAGTATATTGGCTGGAAAAGTGGAGAACCTCTGTTGGTTTTATACCTAATTACAGAGCGAGGCCTTCACGCCTATTCTCTGCAGACTCCCTTTACAGGGATAAGTCGTAACAACGCCACGTACTATTTTAAAATGAATAATCAAAATCAAAATGAAGAGTTCATTCCTATGGAAGGAGCCCTTCCAGGTATAGGATTTATAGTCAGACCCTTAAGACCCCCAGGTATAAGCCCTAGTCACAGTCCAAATCCTGCCATAGAATTAACTAAGCAGATTAAAGAACTTAAGAGAAAATTAAGAAAACACATAGCTCAGAAAGATAGATTATAAAGAGAAAATCCAAACAATTATGCTTGGTGCATAGTTTGGTATAAAAGTAATATTAAATATCTTGAGGGAAAACTGAAGGAACTAGGTCACTTCGTTGCCTAGTTTGAACTATTAGGTGTTTAGATTTGTATCTTAACCTTAAAACCTTAAAGTTTAAGGGTCTTTGGGACTCTTAACTTAATCTTAGGAATCCGTGTAGCACTGAGAGGTGCTCATACGTTGGTCAGCCCTTAGGATTGGTGGTCCCGGCAGTAAAGCCCGAGAGGGGTAGTGAGTCCGTTGGTCAGCCATATCGGCCGTGAGGCAAAGAGGTGGTCCCGTAGCATGGAAACCAGAGAGAAAGTTAAGATGCCTAATATCCTTAGATCTTTAAGCGATTTAAGATTAAGAAACAAAGATAAGCAAATAATAGTTAAAACACCGCAACAAGAGCCTTCTTCTTCAACTTCCTCAGAAAATAAAGAAAAAGAATTACAGATAACTGAGATAGAAAACTCATTACATAATTGGTCAATACCTATAGTTAAAAAATGCGAAGTATATAAACAACATAAATTTTGGTCAACAAATCTAGATGAAATACATATAGTAGAATATAGTTATCCAGGAACAAGAAATAATAAAATTATAAATATCTTAGAACAAACAATTTTAGATAAACATATTAAAGATGGATATAATTTTATACACTTAGGATTAATACAAGTAGCTGCTAAGCCTAATTACAGATTAGGAATAAATAGCCCAATTTTAATGTTATTAAGAGATGTAAGACTTAAAAAATTTAATGATTCAATAATCGCAATTTTAGAAAGTAATTTACATGATGGCCCTGCCTTTTTTAATCTGTTACCCTAATTTTTCAATGAATATTAAAAATGATAAGACAAGTAATGCAATAAAATTATACGTACAAACACCAGAAGAAATTGTAGATGAAGAGTACGGTCCAATACAAATAATTTATAGAGTTTATTATAAAGTAACCAAAATAGATTATAATTATAAAGCTTTAAGATCTTCACCTAAAGATGAGACCATATTAGTAGAGGCTAATCTTAGGAAATCATCGGTTCAAATTCCTAAAAAATTAAGTCATGAAGAAATAATTAGCGAAATTCCTGAAGAATGGAAATTAGAAGATATAATAGAAGAACCTAAATTATATAATACTCAAATTAGAGAGATAATACAAGATGGAACTAATATTAGATTAAGAATGAATAGGTCATTATCATTTAAAAATAGAGAACCCCATATGATATATAAAGGACAATCGTCAAGACATTCTATAGATGGATCAACGATAAATTTAGATTTAAGAGGATTAGACAATATTTCTCCTAGAGTAACTAAACTCGTTTATGAAGAATCTAAAAAATCTGATTCACCACAATATTCTCCAACAACCTCTCAAATATTAGGAGTAATAGAAAGAGTAGAATCCTTTATTATAGATAAAAATTGGATTAGAGAAGATTTTGGAGCGAGAATATAATAAATTAAATAGAGAATGGTATTTTAAAACATTTAGTAAAAAAGAAACAGAAGATTATAGGAAAGAATTTTATAATTACATGGAGGAAAATGAGATAAATTTATATTTCTTTGATTGGTTTTATAATTATAGTAGTTATAGCCAAAATAAGAAAATAAATCCACTAGAAAAAATAAACAATACATGGAAAACTATAAATAATGAAATAATAAATTCAGAATATCCACCTCAACAAGGAATAATAATAAATCCAGTAAAAGATTTAGAAATAGAGGCTAGTCCATACAAAGATGTTAAAAGTGAAGAAAAACCAAGTACAATTAAAAGACATAAAGAAATTACATTCTCAATTAAATTATTCTAATACTTGTATTAGATGTAATGTCTAAACAATTAACTAGGATAGAAAATAAATCTGTAAAAGATGTTCCCGAGTAGCTCAAAAGAACCAAGTAAAACCAATATACAAATTATTTAATGTACCACAAAAGGAATTAGAATCATTACGATTAAGAAGTAATACTGACATACAAATAGAAGAATTAAAAAAGAAAAGAGATCAGATAGGCAATATATCTATTAATACAATAGAAGTCAATAAGTTAAAAACAAAATATCCAAAACTTAGAAATTATTACAATAGACCCACTTTCGTGAGATATACAATTTGAAGAAAGGGGGAATTAATACAAAATTCGTTCTCAGGAAATGACATAAGCTGAATGGAATCTAGATGGTCTAAGTGAACAGACTATTTTAGATTTAACTTGTCAAATGACTATGGCCAGCTACGCCCATAAGGCAAAAGGTCGTAGTGATAAATCAGCGACAATAGCAATAATCCAAGGATTCACTGGCCAATTGAAAGGTTGGTGGGATAATTTCTGCACGAGAAAATGATAAATTATCAATATTAAATAGTATAAAGGCAGAAACTAATCAAGAAGATCTTGTAGCAACACTAATTTATTCAATAATACAAAACTTTGTAGGAGACCCTAATGTTTTTAAAGAAAGAACGGTAAGCCAATTAGCTAATCTATATTGTCCGACTATGTCCGACTATAGATGGTATAAAGATAACTTCCTATCAAAAATAACCCTTAGAGAAGATGGATTTGCAGGATTCTGGAAGGAACGGTTTCTCGCGAGGATTACCTAAATTATTTTGAGAAAAAGTAAAATTAAATTTAGAAAATCATTATGGAAAACCTTTGTCATACGATACCTTAACTTATGGTCAAATTCATAATATAATTGTAGAAAGCTGGCATTCAAGTATGTACTTGACTTTAAATTACAAAATAAACTTAGAAAAGAAAGTACGATAAATAAAAGAGAAATAGGAAATTTTTGTTATCAATATGGGATGGAACCCATAAGAGCTCCTAGCTCTAGAAAGAAGAAAATAATTAAAAAACAAGAAAAAACCTATAAAAAACCTTTTAGAAAATCATATAATAAACTACAAAAGACTGAAAATAAAAATATAGAAAATAAACAATGGACAAGAAAACCCAAATATAATAAAACAAATAAAAAGAAAAATACATGCTGGAAATGTGGAAAAATAGGTCATTATGCTAATAATTGTAAAGTAATTAAAAAGATAAATCAGTTAGATGATGAAAAATTAAAAGAAAGCTTATTAAATATTTTAATAAATTCTGAAGAAGAAGAAACGAGTAGTAGTGTAGAAAATACAGATAGTGAATTAGAATTAGAACAGTTAGAACAAGAATCTTCTACGGAAGAACAAAGTTTTGAAGAAAATGATTACTGTTTAGGTCTAGAATTGTGTAATTGTCAAGATTGTAAAAACATTAATATGTTAACAAAAGATCAAACATCAACCTTAATTTCGATAATAGATAAGTTAGAGGAATCACCATTAAAAACAGAATTTTTACAACAACTAAGTGATTTAGTAACTCGAAGTGAAGAAGTACAAAAACCTATAAATCCTATTAGTATGAAAGAAATCTATAATAGATTTAAAGGACCTAGTCAACAAATAACTATAAAAGACTTACAAGAAGAAATTAAAAATCTTAAACAAGAAATACAATCCTTAAAAGAAAATGATATCTCGTTAGAATATAGAATTATAGAATTAGAAGGAAAAAATTTAGTAAAAATCCAGGAAGAACAAGGAGAAAGTTCAAACAAAATAGAAGATGAAAATTATATTAGCTTATTAAATTTAATGACAACCCACAGATGGCATACTGAAATAACTCTAATAATAAAAGAAGAAAAATTTAAAATTATAGCATTATTAGACTCGGGAGTCGATATAAATTGTATACAAGAAGGATTAATTCAGACTCAATATTATGAAAAAACTTTAGAAAAAGTATCTAGTGCAAATGGATCTAAAATGAATATACAATATAAGTTATCAAATGTAAAAGTTTGTAAAAATAAAATTTGTTATAATACATCATTTATATTAATAAAAAATATGACTACTCCGAGTAATTTTAGGAACACCTTTTT